TCTAATCATAGCATCTTTCTGTTTCTCCTGAAACATCTCAGGGCTGAGAAGAAATGAGATGTCATGCTTTATCATGATGTTATGATCCCGATTAGATGAAATATTAGCTGGGATGAAAGATCAAAATCCTCAATTTTGGACTCTCCTAGATCACCAAAAAACGGTTATGCGCAAACAAATTCATAACTCCCTCAAAACACACACTATCAACACCAAAAATACCTCACAATAAAGGATGAAAGAAAAACAACACAACCAAACCAGACTAAAACAATAAACCACACACAGACACAATCAACTAATATGCATACACCCTCCCAATACAACACAAATATGGGAAGATCAAAATATCTGAAATACGGACCATTAAACCCCACATTCAAGTTAATATCTCAACAACAAGATATGATACCAACATAATACACACACCAACAGGAAGCAAAAACATTAAGCAAGCAGCCTGAATCAACAGAAAAACGATTTACCGACCATAGATCCCCCCTAAACACCACCAAACCTAAACCAACTTCACAAATCGAAAATACCGCAAAATGCCGAAAACACCAAAACACGTCCAAACACGGAAAAGTTAACAACCCTTCTAATACACACAATATGAACATTACATATACCTGGCCATGAAGCTATCACAATGAACTAAACAACCAAATTAAATTTCAACATCGAACTGACCATACCATGATGCAATCAACCAATACGCATACACCCTCCCGATAAAACACAAATATGAGAAAATCAAATATTTGAAACACGGGCCATCAAACCCTACATTCAAGTTAATATCTCAACAACAAGATATGCCACGAACATAATGCACACACCAACGGAAAGCTAAAACATTAAACAAACCACCTGAAGCATCAAAAGACAATTTACCTACTATAGACCCGTGCTAGTCACCACCAAACTCAAACCAACTCAACAAATCGAAAATACCGCAAAATGACGAAAACACAAAAACGCGACTAAACACGAAAAAATCAACAACTCTTCTAATACACACAATATGAACATAACATATACCTGACTATGAAGCTGAAATAATGAACAAAACAACCAGATTCAATTTCAACATTGATAAAACACAAATAAGGGAAAATCAAAATATTTAAAATACGGGCCATTAAACCTTACATTCAAGTTAATATCTCAACAACAAGATATGCCACAAACATAATGCACACACCAACTGAAAACTAAAACATTAAACAAGCCACCTGAACCAACAGAAAAACGATTCACCGACCATAGACCTAACCTAAACACCAACAAACTCAAACCAACTCAACAAATCGAAAATACCGCAAAATGCCGGAAAACAAAAAATACAACCAAACACGAACGAATTAATGCCTCCTCGAACACACAAAATATCAACACAAGACACATGACAATAAAGCGCAAATAATGAACATAACAGCCAAACCAAATTCCAGCACTGAACTGACCATACCCTAATACAATTAACCAATACACACACGTGTTCGATTAAAACAGAATACAAGAAAATCGAAATATTCAAAATACGGACCACTTAACGGTACATTTAAGTTAATATCTCAACAACAAGATATGCTTGCAACATATCACATATACCAACGAAAAGCTGAAACACTAAACAAACCACCTGAACCACCAAAATGCAATTTACCCACCCTCAATCTACCACAGACACTGCCAAACAACAACATACAACAAGATATGCTAGCAACATATCACATATACCAACGCAAAGCTGAAACACTAAACAAACCACCAAACGCACACCAACTCAACAAATTGAAAACACCACAAAATGCCACAAAAACAACCGAACACGAACAAGCCAACAAACCTTTAAATACACACAATATCAACATATAACATACATGACCATATGACTTAACCACATACCAAACCAAACCAAATTTATCAATAAACTGACCACGCCTTTATGCAATAAACCAATACGCATAAACAACCACCCCCCTCCCGCCAAAAATGAATACGGGAAACCTGTTAAAATACAACTGAATGATAGAAAAGAAAACAGCATTTTCATTCACAACCCAATCACATAGAACACTCTTTCGGCATGCAAGCTCATTTTCACATGTGCACATATAATAATTAATAAAGTCTTGGGAATTTTAATTGCATAATTTTTGTAAAAATTCAAAACAAATCTTTTTGCCTCACTTGTCATGATTACACCACCTCCCCCCTCGACTAAAAGTCATGTTGGCTCCGGCCCGGGGGTTCTATTGAAAACTATATCATCAACGTTTTATCATTATGCAGAAAGTCCAATATGAAATCTAAAATCAGGTAAATATGTTGCATTTATTGAAGGAATTATAATACACTGTAACCTATAATGTTTGATATGAATATGAAAACATCCATACAACCATATTCTCAAAATCCATTCTTTTGAAATAAGATGTTACAACAAAGGCAATTGAAAACTTTAATCTTTGAACCTGGGAATCTAAACTACAGTGGTAATTAACTATCTGATTGCTAATTATGTGTATAAACTCTTTGATTGCCCCTCAGTTGGAGATTAAATCTTAAAATTTGATCAAAGGGATATAATTTTCCCCGTTTCTCTTATCTATGTTACAATGTTTATATTCGTTATTGTGTCACCGGAATGTTTTGATAAACAAAAACAAAGTGTTTTTTGGACATCAACATTAGACAAAAGTTCAATATACCATTCTAGATACATTGTATATTTGTTACATCCTTCATACCAGTGTTAGAAGCTCAAACGGACGCCAGTTTTGATGATATGGTAATGTTAATATATTCAGCATGGTTTAAAACAATTGGTGGATTTGGAGGGGGGGTGACAAGGGGACCCGGGAGGGGACATTATCAAGGTGGTTCACGGGGCGAACTTAGGCATTGGCAAGGGGGTAGGACATACTCTGGTGAAAAACTGTCTTCTTTTTGGCTCTTGAGACACTTCTTCACAGATCTCTTCGGCAATATAAGACCCATTTGTGTGAAAATAAGGTTGCTTAAACTAATAAGGCCTAAATGTGGCTATGCAGAAGCAAAGGCTGTATTTCATAAAACAATTTCTAAACATTAACTGTAATCATGGTGATCCGCGGTCGTCAAAACAGATCTAAGAAATAAACGTATTGAGAAATAATTCTTGACTTCTTTTTTTTGTTACTTCGAATTAACCACTTTAATTATGAGGACATACAATTTTTCAAAAATTACAAAAATGCTCACAATAAATTAATCTTAATACTGGCTTGATCAAATATATCTTTAAGACCCTTAGTCTTTTGAAATTTCCAAACCGTATAATACACTACCATGTTTCGCATGGGTATATTCTCACTTATATTCTAGTTTGATTTATGTTACATTAAAAATGAATGGTATAATCGGACATGATACGGGTCACTATCACCATTGGGGAGAGGGTGATTAATAATTATATTAGTAACGCTGGAATAAATTGTGCTTCAGGCCCGTAGCCTGGAGGAAGGTTCGCTAAAGAAACATACAGCAAGTATTTTCCCAAGGGGGGGGGGCACTTTACAAAAATTTCCGTGATTACATGATTCATTTTTCATACGAATCCTGCACGAATCCTGAATGCTGGATTCATTTGTAAACTACCTTGCATATGAATCCTGCTTGAATCCTGGCTACAGGATTCATTTGTAAAGTACCTTCCATATGAATCCTGCACGAATCCTGAAAGTTGGATTCATTTGTAAACTACCTTCCATATGAATCCTGCACGAATCCTGAAGGTTGGATTCATTTGTAAACTACCTTCCATATGAATCCTGCACGAATCCTGAAGATTGGATTCATTTGTAAAGTACCTTCCATATGAATCCTGCACGAATCCTGAAGGTTGGATTCATTTGTAAACTACCTTCCATATGAATCCTGCACGAATCCTGAAGGTTGGATTCATTTGTAAACTACCTTCCATATGAATCCTGCACGAATCCTGAAGGTTGGATTCATTTGTAAACTACCTTCCATATGAATCCTGCACGAATCCTGAAGGTTGGATTCATTTGTAAACTACCTTCCATATGAATCCTGCACGAATCCTGAAGGTTGGATTCATTTGTAAACTACCTTCCATATGAATCCTGCACGAATCCTGAAGGTTGGATTCATTTGTAAACTACCTTCCATATGAATCCTGCACGAATCCTGAAGGTTGGATTCATTTGTAAACTACCTTCCATATGAATCCTGCACGAATCCTGAAGAGTGGATTCATTTGTAAACTACCTTCCATATGAATCCTGCACGAATCCTGGCTACAGGATTCATTTGTAAAATACTTAAACAGCGAATCCTGTACGAATCCTGGAGGCAGGATTCATACAGGATTCATATGTGCATATGAATCCTGCTTGAATCCTGCCTTCAGGATTCGGGGATTTGATTCACTTTTTTTGCTGTGGAATTGACCAATGACATGCGCATATTTAATTAGAACGCATTTGGCGTATGTTTCTTCAAGCTCGCTGATTGGTGACAAAGGTCAGCGCGTAGGTCAAAAGTGATTTATTACCCAAACTGTCACAGGTACCCGTCGTGGGGGCGGGGCTACTAAACTGTAATATGGTCTCTACTAGGCAGAGTGTAGTTTAACTAGACTCTGCACGCAGGGTACCATTTTGTTATTGGAAGTTTTTAGAATTTATTACAGACGCCGAACGCCAGACGCCAACCACCAATAGCCACCCGCCAGCCGCTGTCACCATTTGACAGTTTATTCTATTTTGACCATTGTCGTTTCTAAATCTGGAAGTCGAGGAAAAAAACGATTGTGAAGATAAAGCGTCTTAGATATAGAGTCTTAAATTGATCAATTTCAACAGTCTAGTTTTCTTTTGTTTTTTTATGAAAGAATATAATAAGATATAATGAGATTAGAATATTTAGATTGATGTCAATCAAACCGTAAATTGCGTAACCTGTTGTGCAATTATTTGTTCCAGAATATGGCAATCACAATGCTGCTTCAGAGTTAAAAATGTCTCACTGGTAAGTGTGATTATTATATCACTGTCATATTCCCCACCCTCTCATTGGTCTACACATCACACGTGACATAAAGAAAAGAAGACGGATTTAAACGCTAATGCCTGTAACGTCAAAAAGCTTTTTTCAACGGGCGTATTTATCAAGTGTGTCGTTTCGGCCTATGTTAATCTGATAGTGATACTAAACAAATCTAATAATTCTTGTTCTATCGAGACATTTCCAACATTAAGAGAGTGGTGAATATAACAGTGATTCGAACATGACTGTATTCACGCCATCTATAAATTGTAAACAAAGTCAGCATTTCACCCGGGGTATATTCGCGATCAGTACCCCTGGTAATACGTGTAATGTGTGACGTCATAACGGTGGGTCGTAGTAATGGCGGACCATCAAAACATTTTGGCCAGTCTTCATGTTGGAATCGAAATATAGACCTCAGAACAGGGGTAATATCGTCGAATACACCCCTTAGGGCTAGGCACAATGCTTTCGAACCCCTCACTCCCTTCGGTCGGTCGGGGTACAGAAAACGTTTGTGCCTAGCCCTGCGGGGTGTATTCGACAATATTACCCCTGCTTTTCGGTCTATATTTCTTAAATAAAAAACGATTCTAATATGATACGTGACGTCACAATAACTAAAACAATTGATTTACTGACTGGTCTATATTGGAGTATGTATGACCACTAAAATTTATAAATGCAAATATTTGTTTTTCTTGTCTGTTTATCATATTAGAACCGTAACAAAGACCTCGATTTTATGATTTATGTCAAAATAAGACCTCAAATTTTATTCTGGCATTGCCAAAGACCTCAATCGCTACGCGATTTTCTGTCTTTTAACAATGAACAGAATAAATTTTTCAGTCATACATCACGCCATAAATCATAAAGTCTCGGTCTTTATTCCTTAAATATTTCATACTTTTTTCGGTGAATATCTGTTGCACTTTCAATGATTTGGCAAGGTGTATTTCCGTGGCCCTTCGGGGAATACACGTCGCTATGACGCATACTTCACTCCCCGGGGGTTTTAATAACTTTGATAGTGTTCGTCTTGTGTAATTTCGTCAAGACGATAATAACGTTTTTTCAAATATAGAACGAAATGGTATTTTCTATCACTCTAAGAGAGTCGGTACAACAATAATCTTGATGTATGAGAGTTTCTCGATGAGCAGAAAAATCATAGACTACATCCATGCTGAGTTCAACAAAGATCCAATAAACGCGTATTTGTTACAGGTTCAGCTTTGATATAAGTCCCCATGGAGAGGTCGAGAAAGTTTGGTTCCCTAGTTACGAGAACCCAAAAGTTGTTGCAATTAAGAAGGCTATAGTCAGCCACTTCTCGGCAAGGCTACATGTCTCACAGAACACTGGTCAGCGTTGGGGATACGTACTCAATGAAACAGACACGGGAGGTATTATTATCTACTCTAACGTTTACCAAAAGTTGTACTCCAAATGTGCTGCCTTTGTTACTGATTTTGTGTCGCAAATGCGAACGCCAAGTCAACGAATACGCGCAAGTGTCTATTGGATTTGGTTTTTCAAGATTGAATATGAAATAAATAAATACTATATTATATAGTATAGGTACTATAGTATATGTATAATGTATTATTCATATGTATCTGGCTTCGCCATTATGTCTCGTCATTTTGTTTTCGACACAAAGCCAAATCAAAGCCAAGGTCAAATTTGAACGGCGGCCGTGCGGCAGCCATAGCTTCACAAAATCGATATGGAAAATCAACATCGTACTGCTTACTGTATCCCTTTATTAATGTTGGATATTTCTTACGATTTGGGTAAGCTACGGCCGCCATATGGTCGCCTTATATAGAATGTGACTAAGCCATAACTGTTATAATATGTCGACAGAAGTTACAAGCATTGTAATGTTGGTAACTATTCTATATATGACAATGCAGACACTTCATTTTAATATTGTACTTTAGGGAAACATGAAGCCCGATATGATGCTTTCACGACGGATGGATCAGTGAAATTTGTAAAGACGAAAAATAAACAGATCGTTCCAAACAGCGAGGGATTTCATAAAAAGGTGCATTTCGTGATTTACAGATATTCAAAATGGTCATATTGATAAAGTTTAGTTAACGTTATATTTGTGGATGGAAACTGTATGAATTGAATATCATATCATTGTATTATAATTGAAGTGTCTTTTTAATGGTATAATATTAAAGCACTTATATTGATTCTCAGAATATGTAATATATTACTCAAGGGCAGGGATGCATTTTATCCAAAACATCTAAAAGACAATGGGTTGGGCAACTTAAATACATGTTAAGGGTAGGAGGGCATTTTTGATTGGCTCGCTCTTTTTATCTTCGTAAAGATACTTATGTACTTTTTAGACGATTGAGTGTAAACATGGATCGGACGTTCCAACTAGAATATCATCGATTCTCAATTTTACAGCACCAAATAAAGTAGTTCCGGGGTAAGCATTATGTATCGGTACATGCAACTACATAAATATCTAGATCAGTTGTAATTTGTTGATTGTTGTAGTACTACTACGATATTTTTATATATATTATTTCAAAAGAAAGAATAGTTTTCATATGAAGGATAAAAAACAATAGTGTATTCCATGTTTCTTAAGCCAGAGATAAATACAACCGTTTAAAATGTGAAAGTATGGATATAAATTCAAAATCGTGCGACCGACAAACACTAATTTCAGTCAAATGTTGTGCAATATATATTTAAAGATATGATCCTGACAAAGGTATACCAGGTGATCCGACAAAAGATCATGGACAAGGGATGGCGAATGACTTTGGTAGGTATTATTATATAATTTATGGACAATCAATGGATCGAATGCAAATATAATGGTGTCTTTAATGTCATTACAAAATTCGAAAAACGCACAAGAACCAATAACACCCTATTTGTGTTCCAGTTTTGCCAGTTATGGGGACAACATCAGAGGATCATGTAAACCTAATGTCAATATCGGACGTTGATACAAGTAAAGTCAATCCACCCTCTGGTTTAATAGAGGATAATCTTGAGGTCCGTGAGGAATTTCATCACCATACTATTCCGTACGCTAGTGTCAAACAATACATTCATGGGAACCTCAGTAAAGTTGCAACAATTAAACAACCAGGTAAATATGAGCCAACTATTCTAAAAAGTGATGGTAAGAACGATAATTCAATGAAAATGTATAGATTAAATCATATTCTTATTATAACGGCGTGCCATATGAAATATAGATTTGCCAAGTTACCTTTTCATATCATATTATTTTTTGATATCGAGCATTGCCATAATTGTTTTAGACTCCATAGAACGGAATCATCACTTGAGACAAGCGGTTGAGTTACTTATGCAGTTGTCAAATGATGGTATTTCACAAGTTGCAAGGCGCTATATCATACCTCGAGTTAAAGTGGAACCAACGTTTAATGACATGCGAATGGCTGCTATAGACGTGCTTGGTATCGTTGGAAGCAATCATTCGCTCTCTATTATTGTGAAGCATGTGCTCAAAAACAGGAGACCCGATGCCAAACTAATAATGGGAGCTTTGCTACATTTTGTGGACCGCTCGCATCCACCACCCCAGGTAACCTAGGCATACAAAACATTATGTACACATGTCATCACGAATCGTATTTATCCTGTCCCTTAAATGGGTTTGACCTCTTGTTATTGTATCTAATGCTTTATTCTTAAAAATGTTGTTAATTTTGGTTTCGATTCCGATGATTCATTATTGTGAACTTGGTGGTTTGATTTTAGGACGCCGTGGTTGCAGTACATAATCTGGCATTTTCTAACAAGACATTTTTCGCAGGTATGGACAGCACATTAAAAGAAATAAAATCTAACAATGTGTTTTTAAGTTATCACGATTTCATTTCAATTAATTTATTAAAAATACACATTATAAGGAGTATTTTAAAAAAATAAATAAACAAAATAAACTTACACGTCTCGAACTCAGAACTTCATGGTTACGGTGACACCACCTTGCCAAGCGTGTTCAGTTTTGATAGCACATGAAAGAGTTCATTGGTATTATTGTTGTAGATGACGATGATGAATATGACGTAAGAAACAGAGCGATGTTAGTCTTAGGTTCTATTGCCAAGACTCTTAATGAGCACCACGTTCCACTTGGACTCGTCATTCTTGAACAGATACACACTCAGCTTGGATACCACGGTATAAATATTTACTAAGACCAATTCTTCATTGCCAATACTTGAACCGTTTTTTTGCTACGATCAAAATTGACCGATTAGATATTGTGTACTCATTTTCAGGAATTTATTTTCCTTATAAGAGCCTGTATATCATTAATGCTTTTAACCAAAAGGAAGGGCTTACTTGCCAAATTAGCAGAAGTATATTTACAAAAAGGATACCAATGGCATTTAATTAAATGGCAACATCTTTTTAGATGAAACAAATCACCGACAACGTCGTGAACGTATGTCTGAACAGGAGTTGGAAAAGCATTTGCACCAGAAGGCAGGGCTTATCCATGCTTTAGGCAACGCCGGACACGAAGTATCGTTTTCATATATTTTGTCGTATATCAGGCATAGCTCTACCCCATCTCTCCTGAAACGTAGTGCTGTACATGCACTAAAAAGTTTTCACAACGATGAGGTACGTAACGGCTTCTGATTAATTGTATTTCTTCTTATTAATAAAAAAGGAAAGGGCAAGACATTCTGTAATTCCGAATAGAATTTATGCAAAAAAAACTTTTTTCAGGTAAAATAACATGAATACATATGATATGTCTTGGTAGACAGCTCGGTCTATAATAAGTTGCTTTTCCCCATAACATAGTAAATTGTTGTTTCTACTTATACGACAAACTCAGACAGGTGGTTTTGGACGTATGATGTTTTTCAAAGTATTATTTTGCTTTGATTATTGTCCATTTTCAGGCAGCGGATCATATTCTATCAGTTGCCTTAAATGATCCCGAGGATCATGTCCGATACCACGCAGGCCTACAGTACTGGCAACACCCGCATGCAGCTAAAGTTGACGAGATCAAAAATGTTGTTTTTCATGGTTACCGAAACGTAAGTCTCTATAAGAGGGCAGTCGCATCTGTAAAACATCATAGGCAGAAACGAGGCATTGATATCTTCAAAGGAATCGAATTTAAATTAGAGCTGCCAGGTATAGACTGGAAGAAATCAATTGGAATTTCTAGTATCGGTGCGAAGTTTGGACTAGTAATGAGAAACATTATGGACCTACAAATAAGTAAGTGTATCATAGTACTTATAAGAGTAAATAACATTGTATATGACTTATTGCCATTTCGTGACATAACGCAGCTTGTCATCCACCAATTATTACGGAATAAACTCACTTGATAACAGGGGAGTAATTATCTTTATGTAATTAATCTTCCAGAACCTTTGAAAGGCCATTTCCTGATTGACATATACGACACAGCCTATGCTAGAGGGGTGGTGGGTTTCCTTGGTGTTGATATCAAGTTCTTCTTTGCCCAGCTGTGCTTCAATGGAGAAGTGAAGTATGGTCTTAATATCCTCCAGGTACTTTCTATATACTTACTCATTGATTGCTTGTCTGCGGAAGTGATCATTATATTTTGGACCATTTTCTAAATCACTGGATAAATAAATACATCTGCGACCACGCCTATTTACTGTAATGTCGGTAAGAGTCACAATTCTAGGATAAAATATCCGCTTCTTACCTGGATATATAACAAAAAAGTTTAAAATAACTACTTGTAAGTAAGTTTTGCAATGAAATTAGAACATCTCTGTTGAGGGTCAAAGGTCAGAGTTATCCTTCTCAGAGAGGTAAGACAATTCCAACGAACTTGATTCTTGAAATTATGTTAAAACGTTTCTCAATGTTGCATAAAGGCTTTTCTGATATCGATCAGTGAGCATGTAATTATGTCAAATATTTTTGAAAAGTGATTGGCGAGTTGAGGCTTTTTGCAACTTGTATATAACATTATTTCAAACACAAATCCAGATCAAGCCTCTAGAGTAATGTTTGCATATGATTAAACCTTAACTTATATAATTAGTGCAGACCTTTACCTAGATAATTTCTTTGGAAATATAATCTATAGGAATTTGGCTTTGACGATCCTCAAAAATTGGTGAAGCTGTACGACACAGTGGTCAACAAAGTCATTGGCAACGTTAAGAAAACAATTATCAGATTCAGTGAAATCATGAAGCGGCATCGAGACACTTCTCTGTCTGGTTTGTTTGACGCTTTGATTGATGCAATCAAAGATATCCCGAAACGCATAAACTTGAAAGCAACCATAAACAATGTACTTGCCAAGTTTGAAGAGTATAGTTTACTACCAGATGTTATTGAAAATATCAAGGCTCTTATTCGGCGTATCCAGACTCTGGTCAATGATGTCAGAAAAGATGTCATGGAATTTTACAATGTAAGTAGAGATAAACACAAGTTCATTTACAAATGTACCAAGAATTTACCCCAATTTAAGCTAAATCATGTGTCTATCAGTAAAGATTCAACAAAAATTCTCAAGTTAATACATCCAGAAGACTTTTTAACATGCATAGATTGACACCAAAACATTTATTCAGTACTCACTTTTTATTCATTAAAATGTTATGGAAGGTAAATGAATTAATGAGCTGAATAATAAATGAGTGTACCGTTCTGTTTTCTTACAGTCAATTGCGGATGCAGTAGAAATAACGCTACCATGGGCAGCACAACAGATTGAAGATGCACTAAGAAATGCTGCAAAAAGTGTCAAAAATCTATTGAAAGCTCCTAAGACTGCTATAGCTACCCTCGCAAAATCTGTCCTCCAGTAAGAATTCTTTATTTAGTAATAGGAAATCATGAATATCATTCATTTTATCCAGATCGTCCAGATCGTACATTAAAATTAAAATGATTTATGTACAAACATTAGATTGATTGTTTAATGGTTTGGGGTCAATGGTTTGTGTATCTTTTTTTAGGATTCAGATGGCTATTAAGAGCGTATTTGATGCGAAGACAAGAATTGAGGAAGCTACATTTTTCCTTAAAGGTATATTTGTATCTGCTCATAAATTATCTCAACTAAATTATTTGAAAGACTATGTCGCTATGTCAATCATTACTGTTTATGTTTTTAAAAACGCATTATCTTTACCTTGATTTTTGTAGATGAAAAGCCGTATTGGTTTGATTTGAAGAAGGTGTTTGGGGAAGTACGAGAAGATTTCAAAATGGCAATGGAATCTGTGAAAAGGTTGAAAGACTGGTCGATGTCGGCATTGTCAGGAGATGAGGAACACTTTAAAAAGTTCTTTGCTGTGGATTTGGTAAAGGCTTTCAACTAATTTATGTAATATAACAGATGGTATTTACGCGAAACAATGAGAGATGGCATTTATTATGGTTAAGGTAATGGAGCCAATATAAAATTTACTTTATGTTAAAAATGCCTCTGTCATCTGTGGGTCGTATCGAGCGTTGTAGTTCGTGAGTTCCCGTTTCAAAATATGATTACAACTTAGAAATTAATGTTGCCATTGCTGTGATATTGACAAATTAATTCCCTCGATAAGGAAACGAAGAAAAAATTCCAATGAGATGTACTTTCCTGGTTTATTTGAGAAACCATCCTCCCTTGTGATGTTTCCGTTATTCAAAAGTTAAAGTTGCAGTATAAGTTTGGCATAAAACTTATATCGAAAGCTTTCTATATTAAGTGTTCAATCCTTTTGGTTTTTAGAAATTGGTACGACAGCAGATCGTCAATGAACTATTAGCAAGTCTTACAGATACGGATGGGCTTTTTGGTGGCGTGATAGATGTACTTCAACCATTTATACAAACGTACCAAGATGTTAGAATGTCCATACAAGATCTAGCTGAAGCATTCAGGGGTCTCAAAGAAGGGTTAGTCAATGTGAAATTAAAATATATCATTGCAAAAGTCAAATTTGGCCATGGTCTTTATTTATTTGTAACACTAATCCCACGTATGAAAGATCGCTAAAAGCAAAAGGAAAAAGACACCAACTCATAAGGGAATGTGTTTTTGGAATCGCATATGATAATTCCAAATTGTGTGATAACGTAAAAGGGAGCTTCTAAGATGTGTCTATAGCTTCATTGTTGTATTTTTTCTAGATATGAAATTGCGAAGTCGTTGATAGATAATGTGTTCGGACCAAAGATAGCTAAACAATTTCCAAGGAAATATTTAATGATCGAGACAGACTTGGACTCTGAATTTAAGTCTAGTGCTGGCTGTACAAATGGGTTCTATCCATCAACGCAACATGGCAACTATGAACTCCAAGGTGCAGATCTAGAAGTCGAGATAGGAGAGAAGGTATGGATTTTAGATCCAGACCAGGACGAATATGTTACTGAATGTTAATTGTACCCTGGTACAGTGCCTAAGTTCCAGATTATCATTATCGTTTGATTATAATGCTTTTTAGTGTGTGTTTTAGTTATGAGTGTTATATTTAACGACGAACGTTTTCTTTTTTGTTCCAGATAGTTGTACCATTCTCGGGCTTTCTGAGTATCACTGGGCGTCACCAAGTGACAATTCTTGTGGATGAAATGAAAGATACCGAGCTTGTCTTGGATAACGTAGACGTTGATTCTAGCATTGATAAAACGATGGTTAGTATATATTTTTCAATATGTATATAAATTTGGTTAATATTAATCTTGATTACTGTTTGATTTTACCATGAACGTTGATATACGTCCATGATTTTACAAACTTTTACAATGAGTCCATATGACAAATATTAAGTTTAACGCTTTAAAAAGCATGTTATTTTTATGTTATATTCCCCACTCTCAGATTGGTGAAAGTCCTAAAACTAAAACACTGTATATGGAATTTTGAAAAAACAAAAGGTTTTGATTAGTAATATAAAAGTTATAATATACAAGCCAATATAATACGTTCAATTATAGGTTTACAAAGATGAGCACTTGGGTACCGTCGTGAGGTCATCTGGTTGTCAGATTCCACACATACACTTTGCTATGAAGAAAAATGGAACTGATGAAGTAATCGATCCAACACGTTATTTTGAAAAACGTAAAATGGAACGTCCAAAATGGGTCCAAAAGTGTGATGATTATATATTGGTATGGAAGGTAAGTGCATGGTATAAATGTGCACATTTTAGGGTTTGATATACTGTTATGGGTATACCAATGGTAGGTCGATAACTATACTTGAAACAATACTACTTGATGATGATTTAAAGATTTAAGTCCTGGATTCAGTGCAATGTGGAATGATCATTCCTCCAAGATGTGGTTCCCAAAATTTACACGAGATGCGCCAGCATCTAGTGTTGATTTTGGGAAACAAAGCCTGAAAGGAAAGGTCATTCAACAATGCATTGGGTATTGGGCTCAAATTCTTTTCACACATTGCAAAATATTTTATTCAATATCTCTAAAAAGATATGAAATTAAAACTTTTTGCAAGGGTCAATTTGTCACTTATGTTTATAAGTATGTCAGTCGGTGTCATGGATTTTCACCATGGCAACCATAGAACACTTAACATGTGACCTGCATAAACACGTAGCTTGTTATTCCCTTAGATACTATTTATAGAATTTCACTCTAATATGAACTTAGCCCTTATCTGTTTCATAAGTTTTAATAGATTGTAGAATGAGTGACCTTGGGTGAATTGTTTGTTATATAATAGCATGCAGTCATTTGAAATACACTTTGAACACTTTGCATATTCTTAGCATTTTTGGCAAAGTGAAGTCCTACTTTTGATCTTCATAGTATTTCCAAGTGATTGATAAGTACTTGATCTTTCATTAGACACCAAAAAACTGCTCAAACAGACCACACCAGGGTTTACAATAAATAACTAAAAACAGTATTTTGGATCTTTTATTTTTATATGTCAATTTTTTAACAATGCAAATGAAAGATGGCGAAGTTGTTTGCATCAAATGGTCCATTCATTTTGATAAATTTTCAACCGTACACCATCTTTTAATTCAAGAAGAATTTAAAACATACACTTCGTGAAACATTGGTCTGCACAACTATGAATCTCTGAACTTCAAATGCTATTTTCTATGTAAGTATTTTTTCTCAGTTCAGCATTAACCCAAATTAAGGTTTGTATCATATTTGATTGAGTATGTGAGTGACATATTTCAAAGAATATTTCATTCCTTTTTCTTCAAAATGTGGATATTGCCTGTTTAATGAAAACAACTTTTTGTAGGGTAAGGTTCTCTCTGAGGGTTCGATAACCAAAGGTCCTATTAAGGAAAACACTGATCCAAAACAGTCTTCTAACCCAGACACAAGTATTCCAAAAGGTACAATTCATTTAATGCTAATTTATTAATGCACCTTACTGATCTGAACATTTCAGTCCTGATTAACACCGCACTGATGTGTACTTGGAATGGTTGTTATTTTCCTTCTGCTGTATGAACTATAATGGTTATTCCATTCTTTGTTAATTTCAGATATAACAGATTCCCGGAAAAGAAAAAAGCGTAAAATTGTGATTGGAAATATTTTTGACATGAACATGAAAGAAATAACTGACGAACTCTTATCCAAACTTGGCTTACCCAACATAACTGCATTTGCTCCGAGTCTTTTCACATTCAGCATCAAAGATCTAGTACTTGGAGATCTGAAGACATTTCTGTCTGAATCGAGCAATAATGAGCTCCTGACAAGACTAAACAGATATGTAAACCAACTTAAGGTCAGTAGAGCTTTTATTTTCCCAATCATGCAATATGAATTGAAATTGTATTTGATTGTGAATAATGGTGGCTTAAACAGGCATATTATTAAGAATATTAAATATTTTTATTATTTAGACATCGTCATTCCAAGTAGACGGATGCGTTAGGCCTGGGACGCTTGATGATGACGAATTAAAGAACGCATTGATTCTCATGGGTCAGCAAACTCCTACTGGTCAAAGAGGCGAATTAGTAGATCAATTTTATCGTTTTAAAAATGGTATGTGATCGATAAAACAGTCATATACTGTCATATTTTCAACTGTGTAAAATATATCCTCAAGAGGATACACCGAACCTTCTTTACTCATTCCTGTTTTTAATATATATTAACTGTATTTATTTTCTGAAAAAAAATGATATTTGAATTGTCAAGTACAAATAAAACCACGTGGTCATTATGACTTACCATCCGATAAGTACACATTATTGTCCCACTATACTTTCAGTGTGTCCAAGTATAATGTCGAGGAATCCATTCAAGAGTTACTGCCAAGTGGGATCAAATTGCCTCAGCGTGTCGTGCTGCGTAGACATACAGTTATTCGTCTTTCACGTTGTATTGAAGGCTTCTGTTGTTGTTGACCCCTGTACAAATACATTAACAATAAACGTGGATGATTGGAGTGTGTCATATTCTTTAGGAAGCTATGGTTTCGGTATGAACTTAAAAAGATTACGTGTATCGTTCTTAGCAAAAAAGAAATCGTTGCTTCTATGTTTCAAGTTCCACTCACCTGAATAAAGCCCATATGACAAAATAAAGCCCGGATGTTACGTGACGTCATATTATGGAAGTTTGTTTGCTCGCTTTATTAAACTGGATCCTCTCCATCTTCTACATGAACCTCATATCAACTTTAATTTCATTACTTTTTTAAAACATATGTTTAGAGGTTATTTCACTATTACGTGACTTATGCCTAAGTTCTGCCAATATAGGCCAACCTTGGGAGGCTCTATATTTGGGAAAAACAAAGGATATTTCACGTAGTGACATAACTGGTGTATTACATACCATACTGTGTGCGAATAGGCTTTGATCGAAATGAAACATGATGTCATGATACGGTCATGGTTATTGGAGAAATTTAATATCAGAACGAGATAAGCGGGCTCTATATCGGGGTACTCAGGCAATTCGGTGGATATAGCCCGCTAAATTTCCCATTGACTTCCATACAAATGATTTTCTTTGATGCGATGCAATCTATTAAACAATAGCATTCTCTTCTATCTTATCATCGTTTGAAAAAATCAGGGTTTTTAGGAATCTTGATACATGTAATACCTGTTTGCGGTACAGTTTTGTGTGTTTCTTGTACATCACAAGTCATAAAAAAGTCATAGCATACTAAAGCTATGGTTTATGTTTATATGTTATTATTCAGGGCGATATATATTTAAAACAATGTCGTTTAGTAGGATAGTTGGAGATCAACATGCGTCATTTTTTCAGAACATATCCTCATTTCCCTTTCAAAACATGAAACACTGAAGCTGAACGGATTTTGAAGTTTTGCAAAAGTATGGGAGCACAGCACATTGCCTTTTTGACTTAATCCATATTCTTACGTTTTTACGTTCACGTTTAGATTGTGAATGATATTTCCCTATTATATAATAATCCGAACGTATGGATTTCAGATAAATCTATAGATGAAATTGTTCCCGATATTGAAGGCGGACTAGCAGTTACGCAATTGTACGTGAAACTTGGGATATCCAAACAAAGCCATGTTGTGAAGGTAATTTAAATCACAGATACTTGCAAATTATTAAAAACCAACACCCCTCTAAGGTTAGAGTGTTGAAATAAAGCTATCCGTGTGAGTCTTTTAAAAGATGTAATTGATTGAGGGATAAAATTAAAAAATCTGTGTTTTTCTCTTACTAAGTAATATAAAATAAAATATGCAATACATGAATAGACAATGTATAAAACGTTAAATCATTGCTTGAGTAATTTTTAACTCATCTGTAAAGGAGTCGTAGGACTAAAAATAATTCATTCAATTAAATAGGGTATATGACATTTGGCCATATATGTAGGTAATAACTCAATTTACTATGGACGTACATGTATTACATTATAGAGTACGGTATAAGTGAATATACAGGGCGTCCACAAAAAAAGTATACCCAACTTCAAATCCAAATTATTGGAATCCTAAGCAGTTTTTTTTAAAATACAAAAGGTAGTAGTAAAAAGCCTGATTTATTCTCCATCAAATGGTACCAAGATCATAATGTAACTGTCATGTATGACTGAGTAATCTTGACCATCATGAGAGGTGGTAAAATTAGCACTATGCCAAGTAGTCTAGTAGGAAGGTATGGTCCCCATGCACCCGAAAGATGTATTTTTTTAATGTACATTTTTGTAATCCTAAAGGTCCATACTAAAGATTTTTGCATGTTCCCAGAATGAAATATTGTCCCATGGTATCCATTGGCGGCCATCTTGTCGGCCATCTTGAATTTTTGAAAGAGTTGGTGTTAATTATCTCAAAGTACAATAACTTCCACAGTTTTGAGAATTGAAAGCTGTAAGTGGTACCAAAATGAAGCTTTTATAGTATCCCATATTATCAGATGCAATAATTATGCAAATTGCCTCATTTGCATAAAATGTGACATCATCAATCATAATTCTTGCCTCTTTACAACGGTATCGCATTATACCTTTCCATCTGAGTGATCAGTCTTAGTCATTCATGAACATAAATGAATTTAAATATATAGGTACATTAATTTTGAACATATTTGCAATTGGAAGTTTTGGAAAAACATTGTCAGACACATGATTATGTAACTGAAAAGGGGCATGGCACTTCTTGCGAAAGAATTTATGTTAATCATTTCAAAGTACAATAACTTCAACAGTTTTGAGAGTTGAAAGCTGTTAGTGGTACCAAACTGAAGCTATCACAATATCCTATATTATAAGATACAATAATTATGTTCATGACCATATTTGCATAAAAAATGACATCATCAATCATTATTTTTGCCCTTTTTCAATGTAATGCATATTGCCTTTTCCTCTGAGTGTCCAGTCTTGGTCTCTCATGAATATAAAGATATTAAATGTATACATTCATTTTAAACATATTTGCAATTGAAAGTTTGAACATATTTGCATTGAAAGTTTTAGAAAAACATAGTCAGAAAATAAGGTATGACCTTTCAAATGATTATTGTTCTGAAAAGGGGCGTGGCACTTGTTGAAAATCTGTATGTTATTATATAGTCAATGTATCATTTGTAAAATACCCAGGGGTTCACTGAATACACAATTCTGTAGGGTTCCTAGGCTGAGCCCTCAGATATCATTATGTTCCCATACCAATCTGTCAAATTTCAATGTGTTCCCATACCAACCAAAATAATGCCCAAAAGCCGTACCAAATATCCAAATATAAGACCCATGCTATATCAAATGTCCAAATATAGGACTAATGCCATTCCAAATATCCCAAAAATATAAGACCAAGTGAATGCAAAATGTCTAAAGCCCCTGGAAGAAGGCAGAACTTTTAGGAAAATGATCCAAAACAACCTCAAATTAAGGACATTTGTAAAAACTAGACCAATCCCATACCACAAGTGAGAGGTAACCTATTCTCCATGACCATTCTTGTACCACAAAGTAGAAAAATCCGACCATTGTCATACCTCAAAAGTCATATTTTGGGGGTATTCTCATTCCAGATCCTAAAATTTGGATCCATTGCCATACCAAATGTTAAAAGAGGTACCCCCGTCAAGGTTTATATACAGGGGTAAAATATAGCTTTTGACTTTTAGAAAGTAGCCCAGTGATTTCCCTTATTCCTAGTTTGTTCAGAAATTCTTGTTGGTCTGTTTGGCAGACATTTAAATTTCATACTGTACAGATACGAATGACCACATATCCCCATATCATTTTAGGATAGGCAGTTAACTGAAAAGGGTACCCACAGTATTAAGTTATTAAAGCTATATAATTAACTCAATATGATTAAGCCTGTACCTCAGTCCAATGTTTTATCCAAGACATCCGACTGGACTCTCAACTGACCTCTTCCAGAAACTCAGTGCTGATGCCAAAACAAAGTAGGACCATCATCTTCAATGAGCTCACGGTACCTTCAGAAGACCAACTAAAATATCTCATCAGCTTAAAAATCCAAGACCTATTTGATGAGGCTAAGCAGGGCTTGCAGTAAAGGTGTCCCGTACATGTTAAGGACTCAAAAATAATTTGGAGGACGCAAAAATTGAAAATATTTCCGTTTTTTGGACGCAAATTTTTTTCAGGTCAATACTACAATGTGTTTACAACGATACCTAACAAAAACAAATAATTATGATCTCTCACCTTTATTTGAATCGTAAATAAGGCTCAACATGTTGAATATTTACAAATAATCATGATTCTCTCGAATTTTTTCGACTTTGTTTATTTTTAGATTTGAAACCATGACACGCCACAGTTTTTCCTATTCAGAAACAAATATTAGGTTATTCATGAAATAAAATGTATTCATTGTCGAATGAACGAACATGCATTTATTCAGTCCATACTTAAAGTTTACTTCCGTTTTAAATTCGCGTCAAGAAATCAAAAACTGAAAGGTGTTTTGGTAAAAAATGCTTTTAAAATAAAGTTATACGTCAAAACAGGCTAGAAATAGGGGACACACTTTTTTTCAAAGGACACACTTTTTTAAAAAAAAATTGCGTCCTTGGGACTCACAAATTTTCTAACCTAATGCAAGCGCTGCTAAGACAAGAGGGTGGTATGCAGTTATGCAACCAATAGAAGTGGGATGCAGAGCCCAGCCTCTTCACTATGCTACCTCTTGTCCAAGTTAGAACGATTTCCATCCCAGATGCGAGGACAAGGAGTGGAGGAAAAATCTGTGAAACACCATTGTGTTGGGCCAAGTAGAAGACAAAAGCTTCTCTTGGGAAGGAGAGATGAAGCCCGCAGTGTTAGTGGACGGCTTCATCACTGGCAAGAGAGCTCCAACAGATGCTTCTTAGGAGATTACTTCATCTTAGTCATCCAAAGATTCTTCTTCCAAAGATAGAAACACTCAGGAAAAGAGAAGCATAGGACCAGGAAGACATTCTTTGAAAATCTCTATAGGCTCACATCAAGCTTGTTAGGGAACCAAAGAGTGCCCATATGGCATGTACGCAGGATCAAGTAGAAGCAAATACTTTGGCAGCACACAGTGACCCAGATCGAGAGATGCCATTGGGTAATTTTCCAATTGACATCCAACCAGATTTATCATCAAAACCGTTTGACCAGTCAGATTTCAAGCTTGATGAGGTAAGAACAATCATCAGGAAGGCTCAGCCTCAGGTCTAACAGGTGTGACATACAGGGTCTACAAGAACTGCCGAAAGCTGTTAATACATCTATCGCGATTGCTAACAAGCATCCAGAACAAAAAAAATCTAGCAAGGACTTGGACTTTGGCGGAAAGGTGCTTCATTCCAAAGGAGCTAAAATTTGAGCGACTGAACCAGTTCAGGTAGACATCATTATTGGATGCTGAGGGAAAGATCTTCTGGGCCATTATGGTCAAGCCTCGAAGTCGTTTCCTAGTGGCCTGCCAAGCATTCAGAAAAGTGGTCTCCCAAGACATCATGGGGTACATATAGCAGCATGAGCCAACTTGTGAAGGAAGCCAAGAAAGAGAATCAGAAGTTTGGCTGGACAGAAGGCCTACCTAGTGTCCCTCACCAACTGATAGTAGAGGTACAAGTTCACTTTCATGTACCAAAACCAACAGATGTAGTCAATCTGACAATGGTACACACAAACTCCTTGAAGTTGCACAATACATTTGGCAATTATACCACTAATTAGCAGAGTTCGGAGAAAGGCATAGTGGCAGATTGCACTGTATCAGTAGTTCTCTTCGTAACATCCATGAACTTACTGCTAAATGCAGGGATGATGCAGTGTAAGGTTCCACAAGCAAATGAAGGTGCAAAACACCTACCATACAGAGCTTTCATGGATGACATCATAGTTTTGACCAGTTCAGTAGTGCGTACCAGATGGGTTCTATTAGCTATGGAAAGAATGGCAAACTGGACTTGCATGAAGTTAAAAGCCAACCAGGTCAAAAACATGGTTTTGAATGATGGCAAGCTTTCTCCAATGCAGTTCAAAATAAAGGGCAAGCAAATACCAACAGTGCATGATAAAAGAATCAAATGTCTAGAGAAGAACTATGGTTTGAACAATACAGCTGAAGTCTCAAGGGACCTGGACAAGTGGCTTAAAGCAATTGACTCAAGTCATATATCGGGGCGTTATGACATTACTCCCCAATTTCAGTGGCCTTTCCAGATTTACGACATTACCTGGGAACCCTCACTTCAGCAATTCTTGAAATGGAATGACCTTTGGTCCATGGACCGAGGGGAGTTAAATTTTCAAAGAGCTTTCCTTGACCTGGTCTCAACTCCATCAAACCTCAGACTTTGGGGCAAGGAAGAAACTGCCAACTGCCCCAAGTGCATGGCAACTGAATGACACTTACATTAAATCATATACTCAGTATTTGGGTTACAGCTCCCACTGATGGACAATACAGATGGCGTCATGATTGAGGTTGAGGATGCCCATACTTTGATCTGGGCCTGTCTTCAATATCTATCTTGCATTTCTTTGATTTGGGCATTATTAACCACTATCACTTCTAACATGTCTCATCAGATCGACTTTTGCATATGTGACAATAAAATAGCCTGACTTGTATTGTGCTGTCATATTGGAATTACACTATCATAATGAACACATCATGTACTTGTAAGCGGTGCACACAAGCTGCAAAATTTGGCCAACATTTCACCAATGAGCAACATTGAGATCTATCTACATCTATCGTGTGAAGTGTCAACACTTAATTTCTTATAGTTTTTCCAAAATTTCAATTGCAAATATGTTCAAAATTAATGTACCTATATATTCAAAATCATAAATGCTCATGAATAACCAAGACTTTAACCCAGAGGGAGAGATATTGGTCGTTACCATTGAAAAAAGCCAAAAATGATAGAGGTTGTCACATATTATGCAAATGGAAAAGTTTGCATAATTATTGCATTTTTATAAGTATATTATAATAGCTCCATTTTGGTACCACTTACAGCTTTCAATTCTCAAAACTGTGGAAGTTATTGTACTTTCAAATGATTAACATCAACTCTTTCTCAAGAAATGCCACGCCCCTTTTCAGTAACATAATCATGTGAAGTGTTTTAACTTAGTGTCTGACAATGTTTTTTCCAAAACTTTCAATTGCAAATATGTTCAAAATTAATGTACCTATATATCTAAATTCATTTATGTGCATGGATGACTAAGACTGGTCACTCAGGCAGCAAGGTATTGTGCGATACCGTTGTAAAGAGGCAAAAATTACGATTAATGATGTCACATTTTATGCAAATGAGACTATTTGCATAATTATTATCTCAAAACTGTTGAAGTTATTGTACTTTGAAATGATTAACATCAATTCTTTCGCAAGAAGTGCCACGCCCCTTTTCAGTTACATAATCATGTGTCTGACAATGTTTTTCCAAAACTTTCAATTGCAAATATGTTCAAAATTAAAGTACCTATATATTTAAATTCATTTATGTTCATGAATGACTAAGACTGATCACTCAGGCAGAAAGGTATAATGCGATACCGTTGTAAAGAGGCAAGAATTATGATTGATGATGTCACATTTTATGCAAATGAGGCAATTTGCATAATTATTGCATCTGATAATATAGGATACTATAATAGCTTCATTTTGGTACCACTTACAGCTTTCAATTCTCAAAACTGTGGAAGTTATTGTACTTTGATATAATTAACATCAACTCTTTCAAAAATTCAAGATGGCCGACAAGATGGCCGCCAATGGATACCATGGGACAATATTTCATTCTGGGAACATGCAAAAATGGTTAGTATGGACCTTTAGGATTTCAAAAATGTACATTAAAAAAATACATCTTTCGGGTGCATGGGAACCCCTCCTTCCTACCCGTCTAAAGTTACCTTCATGTGTGACAATTGATGTGTAATTGGCTTAGCATTCTTTTTCTGTTACATTAAGTTAGAGGACAGACCTTCCATACTGAACTTGACTTGGGACTGAGTAACTCTCTTATGAAAAAGGTTTGGCAAAAAGCTTAACTTACTCTAAAATAGGCCTGCAGAAATGGCTCAACTGACACCTGAGCAGTAGAGCCAACAAAAAGTTCTAAAAGGCAAATCCCATGAACTGTTTATAGAACCGCTATTCTTGCTATTGAAATGAATTCTAGCAATACTGTCCCACATTAATCTACTTGTTTAGACTCAATAAACTCGAGTTTTCTGAGAAAATGAGGATTTCAGCAAGGGTTACTGACTTTACATGCGGATACAATTGACTTCAAAGCTGCATATCAGCAAGTAGAAGTTTCATTGCTGTTCAAGAGACTCCTCGGATGCAATTTCTCGACAGGGAGGTACCAACTAAAAGTTATGGAAAATTATGCAAAAAGTGTGAAGAACATAAAACAAGTATCAATTTGAACATTAATAATGTTTTGAACACATAAAACATCCACTTTGTTATTCCAACTTGAATGCTAATTTGGCACAGTGCTGATTTTACCACCTTTCATTAAAGTCAAGATTGCTCTGTCATCCATGACAGTTACATAATGATCTAGGTACCATTGGATGGAGGACAAACTAGGTCTTTTACTGCTACCTTTGTATTTTTAAAAAATTGCTCAGAATTCTAGTAACCTGGCATTGAAGTTGGGTATACTTTTTTTGTGGACGCCCTGTATTTTGTTTTAAGATTTTAATTTAGACTAGTATTGATGGTTACAAGTATAAATCCTAATGACTTACATTTATATTTTTAGATTGATCTTTCTATCCGGTTGTGTTCTTTAGTAGATCCAGATACATGTACCCCATCATATCTCACCATTCTTAAAGCTGCCGAATTCCAGTTGCCAAGCAGTGAACATCAATGTAATGATCAAGACGATTCTGAGGCAACAGACTGTAAGTATGGCTATAATTGATAAATACTTGACAATATCATTAATGCGTTTGTCAACAACAACAACAATTCAATTCATTTACATGAACTATATTAATTCAATTGTAGTTATTACTTTGTAATGATTGTTTGTAATGATTTCAGTGATAAGCGATAGCATGACTATCGGTGACTTTCAAGACCTCATAGCGTCCATAGATACTGGGGGAGTATCAGCTCTTATGCAAGAGATACGGAGCATATATGCCGATTTGGTAAGGTTGATGTTACTAAAAGTTTATTCAAATTGTCTTGCTTAGAACATCAGGTAATCACGTGTTCAGCGGTTCTAGTTTAGTTTTAGACTATCGCTGATTCCAAACGTTTTGTTTTCGGTGATGTAAATATCATGCTTCGGGTAAATGAAACTTGTAATTTACTTAATAATTTAATCAATCATTTTTCCAACTTGAAGCATCACTGGACCAGTACTTATATGTTGGGGTAGATATTGCCTTATAGTTAATATGTATGGGTAGGAACTTTGCCTGTATGAGTCAAAAAGTGTGCCAAAGATATGCGGTTACATTTTGATCAAATAATTCCTAGATCAATACCATTAAGCAATGGAGTATGAACGGATAGAAAAGCATATAACCTTACCTTTATATTTCAGTTGATTTCCAAAATAAACAATGTCTTGAACAAAGTGTTTACTGAAGACTTCGAATCATTTGACGTATGCCTTGAAGGGGGGAAGATGTTTGGACCGTATAATGCTGAGTTTATCAAACCTTTACGATTCTTATTCATGATAGGACCTATTCCAGCTAAATTTGGTATGCATACATTTAGCTTACAACTAAAGGATTTAAGCCCTGGACTCAGCACATTGTTTGCTGAATCTACCATGAAGGTGTTGTTTTAAAACCTTTGCATGACCGCGCAGCGAGAATGCAAATTTAAGAAATCAACGCCTGAGTGGAATAAAGCAGCTACAACGCATTGAGTCTTGGGCTTCAATTATTTTCACAATTTATTTTAACAAAATCATCTAAAAACACATTTCAATGAATTTTTGCAAGGGTCAAGTTGGCAAATCATCAAAGCCAATATGAAAAAAAAACATTCATCACCATGACAACTGTTTAACTAGTGACCTTGCATGTGTTATTGATATTTCACACACCGTTCATTATTTGAATACTCTGTTCGGATTGGTTGGAATCTAATCACATTCACACCTTGCCTAGCTATGTGTGAATGTGCTTTAAGAGCACCACTATGGGTGCACTGTTCCTCGCAATGCATTTCTGTAGTTCCCTCTTGCTGCTAACCTCGGATGTGGTTTAAAGTATTGGAACTGAAGAATGTCTTTCCAATATACCAATATAACAAAAACGCTTTTTAGAGTGTTATCAAACAAAATATTCCTTCATACCTTTGTAATCGTTTTCAGTTTTTGGAGCCGGTGGATCGTATGGAATGGGCTTTTCGTGTGGGTTTTGTATTCTTTCTATGAAGGCTACGGTAAGTGCCTTAGTGTATACTGTTTTGAAAGTACATGAAGTTAAATAAAATAAGAGTAATAGTAATTCATATTTTACATGAAGCATTATTTTGTAATGATCAAAATTCTGTATCATATCGTCACCATTGGCATTGTTCTTATTTGATACACATATAGACTATAGATCTTTCTAGAAAACATTGTCCTGTGAATTTGTAGTCATCGTGATTATCCGCTGTCATAACTTTTATTATTACTCGCCATTCTCAGTATAGTGTATTCTACACGGAACCACGCATATTAAATATGTATTCAGGGAACAGTCAGCCCGATGATGGGTGCATATGTGTATGGCGCATTACGAGTTGGATTTTCCTTCCTCTATGCCGAGGCTAGGCTTACAGGATATTTACTGACGACATCCTTTCCTACCAGATTAGGCTTGGGATTTAGCAAGTTTCCACTTGATGTCAGGTACGTCATTTCCTTCATTTGATTATACACCCCACTTGTATATAAATCATTTTAAGCTACCTTGGCAAATTATTATAGTGTGATGGAAGGACTATTATTACCACCTTGCCGGACCAGTTCTAGGGGTTTTAGTGCTAGTTTAGAAGGCATTTATTTAACTATATCGACCTGAGCAATATTTGACGTCATAGTGTTGGTCAAGAATGCATTTAACGACCGGTCGAGAATGCATTTAACGACCGGTCGAGAATGCATTTAACGACCTGCAATTTTCCCCGGGATATTAGATATCGTTCAGTGCGTAAGATTTTCTTGCTGTTTCAGTCCTGGTCGCAAACGGTGTTCATCGTGTGTGTTTGAAATATATCAAGGGGATATTTTATTTGCAATATATGTTTTATACTATTAAAAAAGAATCATCATCAGATTATCATTGATAGAATATAGAATATTTTGAATTTAGTCATTAATAATATATAATCAGCCTTTTGAACCCATTGATGTTTTGCAGTGCTCGTATGGATCTGGTTATTGTACCATTGCGATTGACACTGAATATAGGACTATATATGAAAATCAAGATTGGTTGGGTCAAGATTGAAATAACAATATTTCGCTTTAATCTATGGGAATACACAACACCATCCATAACCAAAAATATATTTGCGCTTAATTCCCCAGACCCAGACAACTCTCCACCTGACTTCAGTTTTTACACTGTACCTGTGAGTATTCATTAAATATTCAAAATAGTGTAATTATTACAATACACATTCTAAATGTAGAAATAATGATACACTTCGTTCAGTTCTACAGTCAAATGCAAAATATGTTATTATTGTATATGCAATATATCCATGGACACCTTAAAAACTTCATGTATTTCAGAACGTTGAATTTAACGATAATAGAAAACGCAGTGCAAACACCGTCGAATGTTCAATAAAACAATTGCCAGGGAGAGATTATGTTGATCCTGCTTTCCAATTGGCTACTGCTGTTGCTGATGACGTCAGTCAGGTAGATATGGTGTTTTGCATCGGCAAATATAAAGGAGGTTGCGACGAAGAACATTTTGAACCGATGGGGGGATTCTCTACTATAGTGGCAAAGGTGAGTAACTCATAAATAACTTTTGAGAATCTATAAATATAGCATATGTCGTGCTTGATGTGAAGCTGAATTGTGTATTACTATATTCCATCAACATGATAATGAGGTTACCAATATCCCCTCCTTATTAGGGCATGTGATGAATTTGTGTACTTAATATATTTAAACATGTACAATCTGAACATTTTAGAAATTTGTATTTTCAGCCACTGTCATCAGGTATTCCATTGTATTACCTTATACAAGCTACAAACAGCCAGGGATCAAGTTCCACTATTGAATGTGAGCTATACACTTACGACATGACACTTCCAGGTGGCAGGATTATTCCGGATTTTCTTTCAACCAGCCACCCAAATATTCTAAGAGCTTCTGGTATGGCAGTTGATGATTCAAATATTCGAACTACAAATGTATGTATAGTACTTTGTCAAACTAAGGCTTTGTTTTTGACAAATAACCATTCATAAGTTAAATTGAGTGTTACAATGAAATTCTAAAAGAATAAACCTCTGTTTTCAGAACTCTAAAACGATCCCATAAAACTACAACATAATCATAAAACACAAAAAAGTATTACCATAGCACAGACATAGTCATGTGTAGTGATAACTATATTCCTCGGCACCCTGAATAATTCAACTCCATGTATACTAAATAAATACATTTCAATAATGAATACGAATTATAAAAATGTATATAATATAATATAATATAATAAAGCAATACTCTAAATTAGCTTGCAGTTGGCTATGGTCATGGTATCTGGGGAGACCAAGAGGTGCCATGGCATGAGGTGACACTTAAGAAAATTACCTCAAATGTTGACACTGGCGATGATCCGTTCGGGCGCAAAAATCTAGAATACTTTACAAGTAAGCTGATCTACGAAACCCTAAATTGTAGACTCTCGAGCTCTTGTTTCAAAATGACCATGCCGATTTAGTTGTTGCTGTTATTTGAAGATATTACAAACACACTGATAGTTAAATTATAAAAGCATTGTGGTATCATCTTTAATTGCATCTCGAATCATTGCTCCATTAAGACATAACTAACGATACTAAAATGAATAAGTGAACTTTTTAGAGACGGACATAGTACATAACCATATCACTTAAAAATTATCAATTCATTTTTTGCTTTAACTTTTAAAAACGTGGTTGGGTTAAATGAATGTTTTAACAGTTTAACAAAAAACGGTATTTCTTTAAATGTCGCAAAATATATCGACTTGTTTTTATCTTGCATACTTATAGTAATTCAATATAATTTAAGCTGGGCGACTAGGGAGACTGAGAGCAAAAGCTAAGCACCCGACGAAACCACATGCCACGGCTCATTATAGATACCCACAAGCTTGTGCCCGGGACTGTTTGGCTCTACCACCAGCCAAGTGTGCTAGCTTTAACTATGACTACGGACCAAATGGCTTATGTGAGCTATATGAACTCGTCGAAGGACATTGGGCAGAAATTCATGAGGTAAACAAGTCATACTACGTATTTTGTAAAAGACAACTACTAATCAATTTCATTTTATGAACAAAAGCGAGTGTATGATCATAGACCAGGCACACCGCCGAACACAGTGTATGATCATAGACCAGGCACACCGCCGAACACAGTGTATGATCATAGACTAGGCACACCGCCGAACACGAAGGCAATTGATGTGGGATATCGCCATTAGGTAACCAATAACAATCCCTGGCTATTATAACATGAACTTACAAATTTAACATTTCAATTTTATACAGTCTGGACACTTTCACCACTACGAACGGCTAGGTGTAGGACATGCGGATGAATACTCATACAATGATCTAGATTTAGATCATAATAGTACATACTTCTTCAATTACCAGATCATAAACGTATTAGGTAAGGAAGAAACATGTCTGGGTAATAATTTTGTAATATTATTAAATTCATTTTCTTGCGTGTAGTTGGTTTCAAAAAACCAAAAAACATGAATTTTCATTACTAATTCCAAACAGAGGTAAGGGTCACGCAATGTCTATTTTGAATTGATTAAAGTTTTATTGTTTTAGATTATGAAAAGATTTTGACATCAAAGGGAATTATGGCCGATTTTACTCCACCGGCTCCTGGTCCAATAGCAGCTGCTACTTATGATGCTTTAACACATGAGCGCTGCGAAGATTATGTGACAGAGATATTTGAAGATAGATGCATTGAGCCAACTCCTTTGGACAACTACAGGTATCTCATATCCGAAACACACAAATAATTAAAAAAAACTAGAAGTAATATATTCCTCGCTGACACGCAAATTCACAAATAGCTACTAGGCAGGATATACCACATTCCGGCCAATCGTAACGCAGTATATAGCCGTTTTATATTTGATTGATAATTTTCGTACGTTCTACTAACTATGACCAGTTTCATTATTTCAAGATGTTGATTCCTTTCTCCTACTGTTAGTATATTCAAACACATTGAGGTTGGAGACAATTTGTCCATGAATAGTGCTAATAGTGAATGAATCGTATATACAAAATACAAATTCGTTATCCAGATTAGTAATAGATGGCGTATCGGAACCTGATGGCCCGCACTCTCTTTGTGTATTTAATGGGGACCGGGATATGGTAGACCTTCGCTGGACCAGGGATTACAAATACTGTTCTGGTATGTTTTATTACTTCAACAGTGATTTGACGACCTTGTTTAGTCTATGTGCAATTGCATAAAGAATCAATTTATCATTAACTTACAATAGTGTACATTTAATAATTCATGATTCAAGATATCTACTCTAATTGATTTGGCCATTTCTGAAATGTTCAATAACGTCTGTATTTGATCAAAACAAACAAAATCAACTTTTGAGATAATAAAATGGCGTGTATAAGTCGACATTGGAGAGGTTAAGCTAACGATGTTTTTCACAACGTAACCGTGAACGCAAAGTACAAAAATTAACAAAGGAATGTATCGAGCGCTCATAGTTTTATGCGCGCTTAGTCTACTTCAGATACTCTTTCAGCTTCAGAGTTTCGGGTTTAGAACGGGAGATTTGAATATTTGACGTTGGGTCAACGGGAACCATTTTACTCGTGTCTATTGAACACTATGCTGTCAATTTTGATTTCGATGTACAGTTGAATTCTTGCTGAACACGATGATGTATGTCATGCATGATTTAGCGCCAAAAATCTTACGAAACGAGCTCGTTTAAAATATGTATTAGAAAACCAGCTATAAAACCGCATCAATGACATACTATAGAATCATTACACGCTATGGTGTAGTCTAAACAAACACTGGATTTGAACGGCTATTTATATGAGAAGGCTACATGAATTTGTATATGGTCGAGTGATACGTACATGTTCAGTTTCGATTATATATGCAAAGCTTAACCTCTCCATTATCAATGACTCAACCTATATCTCTACATTTTTAGCCAACTGGGACGGTTTCCATGACAACGAAACTGGGGTATATGGATATTTAGTAGCTATAGGAACAGAATTGTGCGAAGACGATCATCATCCTCACAAAGATCCACATTCTCATTTAATATTTGAATCCGAATGGACCCATGAAGCAATGTTCTTCCCTTTACACATGCCAGGTAGTCAAATAGCTTGATGTATATTTTGAACAGCGGTTATCTCAACACCACAAGTGGTGACACATTGTTATAGTATAGATTTTTAATTGTGGACGATGCTCGGCGGTTCATGTTCGGTGCCCGGCATCTTTGACAAATGCAAGGTGTTGACATTTTGCATATTTCGTTGTTCTTAACTTCTCGTCCGACTTGAGCAACTTAACTTCTCGTCGGACATGTAATAACTGAGAAAATTGTATGAGTCGCGTACCATTGTGAATCAAAATGAGCATATTGATTGTTCATACACTTAATCTAGATGCAGCCTATTTGTTATCTATATCTGTTGATTGTTCATATGTTTAATCTAGATGGAGCCTATTTGTTATCTATATCTGTTGATTTTTCATATGTTTAATATAGATGGAGCCTATTTGTTATCTATATCTGTTGATTGTTCATATGTTTAATATAGATGGCGCCTATCATGTGAGTGTGCGAGCTTTAAACAAAGTTGAATTCGGAGGCCCAATGGCGGTTACTGTTTGTCATAGTCTACCATATATCGTAGATACCTCGCCACCTTTTGTTAATCACGTGCAACTTTTATCTTACGACGAAACCAACCATCTCATTATAATGGAGTATAATGTAAGGTAGGCCAATTATGTAAGGTAAACAAATTTTCGATTTTTTTCTCAATTTACATGAAAATGCACATTTTCAATAATTTTATGTTTAACATCATTAAGGCTTCTTTTTCAGTGACCCTCTGTCTGATATCCGAGAGGTTGATTTCTGCCTTGGTCGCAGCAGGCGGGACTGTTATTTATTAGACTGGGAGCGTTTTCCTAACACCACACATTTAGAACAATATCAACATATACCCGATGGGATACCAACGTGGCCCAAGATTAGAGCCATTAATAATGGTATTGAATTATTTGTACACCTTTTTAATTTTACGATTTTAAATCACATGTGACAACTACTTTACTACATTTGTTAAAATATCGAGTTTAAAAATAATGGTACATATACGCGTATACGTTATTATTTCTTGGATTTTGGCCGTGCCCGATTCATACGTCATCATCAAGTACAGTTAGAATCACTCTAAGTGAGGCAGTTTTCTTTAAACTCCAAAATCGCGGGTTCTTGAAAGTTTTCTTGCGACTGTTTACAATCATAACTTTATTAGTTTACATGGCCAAACATTTTGAATCCAGATTCAACTTAGTTTAGCTGAAATCGTCACTACCGAAAGTATTTTGGCCACCATTTTGAATGATATAGGCTTAAAGAGTTTATTGCACTGTATATCAATTTTCTTTTCCTATCGAAATTATATAAAACGTGCTCCCCTGAATCAATATAGATGCTCCACAGGCGTAAGAACCCCAAGACTTCACTATAATGGACGAATAAAGAAGTATAAAAATGCCCATCTGAATTTTGTTATATTTATTCTCCTTGGAAAGAGAGAAAATGGCCTTGAACCTAGATTGCACGCGCGATCTGAAGCAAGCCTACGTGCAATGTATTTCTGATGTACAAGAATAATCTAATTGTACATCCCGTATTGCACCAATCAATCGAAATATTGTAAAACAAGCATATTTCTAAATTGAGTAAAAGGAAGTGTTTTAAACAAAAATGATAATAATAATATCAATATATATATATAATTTGCGCAAGCCACGCGAACTTTCAAATTTCTGTCATGATCATGAAGTTGTTGTGTGATCAAAATAAGCTCAGTTTAAATCACAAGGGCACCGGGGATTAGTATTGTGTTAAAAATTAAATCCACATAATACTCCCATCGCCAAGGCCCCGATACAGTGTGAATCTGACCTTATGTAAGCGAGGTATTATTGGGCGTGTTCACTCAGGTGTTGTAATATTCGCTTGCGAACCGCAGCTCTGTCACGGTGAATAGAGGGGACACGATTCAATTCAAATTGGTTTTAGCCTACTTCAAACGTATTCCTAGTGAACACAATCAGGGGGCCCAAACATTGTGAACTATTTATTCACAATTACAGGAGTGAGCGTGATAAGCTCTACTCAAAATGTATTCTTAGTGAACTCAACACGGGGGCCTAAACATCGTTACCTATTCATTCATAATTACAGGAGTGAACGTAACCAGCTCTATATTCATGTAGTCTAATGTGCCTATGTAGACGTCATCGTAGGCTCATGAATATAGAGTTCAATTGATCGAAACCGAAACAACACGTTCACTGAAGTGTGATTTATTAAGAACAACAAACGATTATTTGTATTTTTATATTCTAATTAATTTCCTTATGCTATGATGAAGTTTATTCAACGAGAGTCGCAATTATTTATATATACCGTACAATAAACACTTTAACTGCGGTTAGAGTCATCCAGGTGTGGAACAGTGAATGCTGAGGGATAAGCAAAATCATGTCATATGTTTCAGTTGATCTAAGAGCTGTTGGCTCAGATGACACACCCATCATAGTTGATACGACGCCGCCAGTGGCTGGTGATGTCCATGATGGGTGGCTACATAATGTTGACATGGACTTCCAAAATAAAAACACGTTGTTGTGTGTTAATTGGAAGAATTTCTTTGATCCTGACAGTGGTATATGTAAGTATTCTTCAAATAACCATTTTTCAATCGTGAACCGTTATGCATATTTTAATATTCATTTCACAGATGGATTGAACAAATTTGCAGTTGTATAGGACTAAGTTAGTCATATAGTATTTGTAATTATAGTTGAATATCGAGTTGGGTTCGGATCTGTCGCTGGTTCTCATGATGATATATGGCCTCTGACCAGATTGGACCATTATAGATACAACTTCTGTACGTCAGATATCACATTACTGCATAATCACAAATACTACGCCACGGTATATGCGACAAACGCAGGACACGATAAGCTTAGTACATCAGTGACTACTAACGGAGGTTCGTTTAACCGAGTAAAGGACTATTCTTGGTTTGAAGAATGAAGTTCATCAGCTTATTTCGAGTTTATCAATGTCACCAATAATTTTGATTTTTTCATATAGTGTAGATTGAAATGTGATGTTTTGAATACAGTATTTAAGATTTAATTATGGAAACATTTTTATTGCTTTCATAAAACAAATGTTAGCGAACTACCCACCGTCGTAAATAGTCCTCTGTCTTTAATAACGACGGCGGTGGTTCGCTAATATTTGTTTTATGAAAGAAAAATATATAACCATAATAACGCAAGTGCGAGTAGGTAGTTACCAGTTTCACCACCAGGTGGCTCGCTCGGGTCAGATAGCATGGCGGGTATAGTAGAAAGTTCCCTTTAACTTAAATTACATCTGTTTTAGTGGTTCAATTTTCATATAGCCCTAATGAATCGAATAGTTATGCAAATTAAAGTATGTCCAGTAAAAGAAAATGTTATATGTCCAATACAAGAAAAGATATTTCACTTTTTGTGATTTTTTAACATGGGGTCTATGGGCAATCAACCCGAACTAGAAGTCACATTTTCAAAAAAGATTAAATTTTCAAAGTTGATAAACAATTTTCGAAACCATATTTTTGGATGTATTTTTACATGTAGATTTCAAATATGACATCACTTTGACTGAATTTTGAATATTCAATGACGTAAATCAAGATCATTTCTACTCGCATCTAGTCTATTAAATTTTAAACATTCAAAAGATCACATTTCAATCTAAAAAAAATCAAAATTGTCGGCGACATTGATAATGTCAATATAATCCTAATCCGATGAACTGAATTCTCCAAACCGAGAATCAGGTCATTTCTATGAGAACTTTTTAGTATCCTTTTGTGCGTTTCGCCGCTTTAATATTTCTTGAGAAATGCCTAAGTCCCATTTGCCCCGATTCATGCATTTTGTTCAGAATTGTATTCAGAGCATTAAATGTGACTCAGGAAAATCCCCTTCCCACATTTACACATTTTGATTTTAAAGATCCGATGATATCAAATTGAAAAAAAATTGGAGGGTATATCTATCTAAGAGTGAACATATTTGGACGTCCATATCTATCTGTGTTTTGAGATTTTGTACTATTTACGATTCGGGGGATTTGTAGATATGATGATAATCATGAGAGCGAATTCAAAGACTGTACTGTTAAATTGTTCCAGTTTTGATTGACATGACTCCACCATTACGTGGTTGGATAAATGATGGTTTGGACCCAACCAAGGATAATAACTTCACGTCTAAGACGTCAAGTGTACTTGCAAACTGGGGTAATTTCCGTGATCTTGAGTCGGGTATATTGGACTATAAATTAGCCGTTTACAGGCGTCCTAACCTGGACACAAACGGTGAAACCTCAGATTACGTGTGTATCCATGAATCAGAATCCGTTGGCAACGTTTCATCATCAATTGACTGGCACCATTTCCATCACAAACACGGCGATCATATTATTGTGGAGATGAATGTCACGAATCGTGCTAGTTCTGTTATCACATCAAGGACATCCGGTGTCAAAGTTGATCTCACCGCCCCTATTGTACAATACATCAGGGATGGAGCAGAAGAATCTTTTGATGCGCAGTTTTCGGTAGGTTTCATAGTTTTTCTTTTGATTTGGTTTAAGTAAAGACCAAAAGACAATTAGAAACACGAGGTAGATAATGATGATAATCACCATCAAATAATAACTTCAGCTAGAAATATCTAACAATCATACTTTGCGCTTTTGCTCCTTGTTTTGTATAATTAGATAGTAATGAAAATTAAGTTTATGTGAGTGTTTATTGGGTTATGTATTTATTAATTACAGAGTAGTCTTACTGACATCACAGCTAACTGGCAATTCGAGGACCCAGAATCTGGTATAGAGCGCTTTTTATTTAGCGTATTTGAAAGACATGGGGGTACAAAGAGAAAAATATATCCAGTCGGGTAAGTGTGGAAATAATCTAATCTTAGGTAATCCAAAATATATAAAGGCGCACTTTTACAATAATTTATTTCTTGGAAGTTCATAGTTATGATCAGTTTATGAAAAAAGTATCAATTATGCTTCTGTATGTGAACTGTTTATTCTCCATAACTATTAGCAGTTCAGTTGGACAGTCCCTTGGTCCTGAGGTGAATATCTTCACTGCTGGCTCACTTGGCCTTCGCATAGGGGGAATATACAATGTCAGAGTGGCTGCTGTTAACTTAGCTGGGCTTACTACAGTACACGATACAGATGGAGTAAGGATAGATCCAACACCACCAAAGGTAATATTTACCATCAAATTACTTGCGCAATTGACATCACAGACAATGAGATAAACTTTTGCAAAAATCTGCAACCCCAAAGAGGTCAAAACAAACAAGACACAAACTGTCGTCGAGACCATCAGTTGTATGAGTTATTTGCCTCTCATGATACAGTTTCATTTTTCACGATGTATCTGGATAGCTCATCGTAAGCAGGCCCGTAGCCAGGGGGGGGGGGGTCGGGGGGTTCGGGCGAACCCCCCCCCCCTGGTTAAAATTTCTTTCAAAATCACGCAGTTTTTCACCATTCTGACTATTTTTTGAGTGATTTTTGGCCAAATTTGCCAAAGTGAACCCCCCCCCTAGAATTTTTTGGAAAAGTGAACCCCCCCCCCCCCTTAGAAAATTCTGGCTACGGGCCTGGTAAGCTACCTTTGTTAAAAAGTTGAAACTGGAAAGCTCATGGAATCTCACCCTTGGCAATTCAATAAGATAATGTTTGCTCTACCCATGAACCATCTCGGGTGTTAACTATAAAGATTAATGTACTGATGTTATTCTTTCTCTCTTTTGTAACTAACACATTGCTAAATATTCCTGTAAGATTTGTGTAAATCCAGTTTTTAGCCATTTGGGCTGACTATTTGCGATCTTAATCAAATTCATTCCATAATTCATTTAGATGAAATACGTCTATCTTGGAGTTTTCGGTGATGAGCTGGAGGACATCGTCGACAACTTTGTTATATCTGCTGAGAGTGAGGGGATACAAGCAACATGGTATGCCGTAGATACAGAGAGTGGAGTGGATGAATACCGTGTTGCAATTGGGACGTCTCCAGGTGTCTGGTTTATTTTATTTTTGAAATACTAGTAATGTGCACTTGATTAGTTTAAAAACAGCCCATTGCTTAATCGCAAATAGCTTTTTAAAATGTACAGACGTTAATTACTAACAGTTCGTTTATTTTTAAACATTTAGGAGGAAATGACATCAGCGATTTTGTAAGTGTGGGTGATTCCACTGACAAATACTTCAGTGATCTACGTCTTCAAGTATTTGATTCCAAAAATGCAGGTCCACTGTACTACGTTAGTGTCAAAGCTAAAAATCGAGCAAGTGCATGGTCTGAAGTTTTGACGTCAAGGTAAATATGTGTATGGAATATTTCACAACCATCGTTTGTATCCCGCTTCAGCCCCAAAATCCTAGATAGCATATTTTCTTCAAATATGTCATATATTATCATCTTGATATAAGTTATTGCATACGTTGAACCACTTTTAAATTATTTTCAAAACAACCTTTTCCAAAATTCGAATATGTCACTAGGTAAATGTTCGTAAATATACAGATTATTGCCCTATTGGATCTGATCTAGGTAGGCTATGAGGGACCGGCCATTATTCAACACTGTAAAGAGGGTTAAACATGAATCGCGTATGTTTAATGAAATCATGACCTTCGTTTTTCCGTCACTGCCTTTCATTTAAAGAGACTCTATTGAGACTTCTCTGTGGCATTTTTTCTTTATTCCTTTTTGTTTTGAATTTTTAACACCATAACATTAACTAACTACTCAATATGCAACTTTTCACCGCGTAGAATTTTAAAATATTAAGTTTGAAAATTCCATTTTTATAATGGAGCTCAATGGGAAAAACTACATAATTTGAATTATTTTCAAACGTAGCGGCGCGATTTTGATAAAATTGACAGATATAATAAATATTCGTAAGACAAAATGTTTGATGAAAAATGAAGAAAATTCACCGTCCTGGTTACGCAAACTATAGAAAAATCTGAAATAATCATAAAAACATGTAAAAATAGATTGAAGGGGGTGATATTCATTTCTAATGTGCCTTTCACTACTACAGGGTAACCATAATTTTGGTACTGATTTGATTTTTCAATGAAAATCATTTCTATAGTGTATAGTCAGTTTAAATAATACAATTGGTATATTTCTTTACTGAACAGTGCAATTATTTATTTATTTATCAACAGTAATGCAAACTACATATTATACAGTTAGTAAAATATTAAAATAATTCTATTAAAATTAAAGCATTGCCAGAATGTGTTGACAGCTGGCAAAAAATTGAAGAATTTGAAGAAAATAGCCACCCAAAGACACTTACACCTGCTAATTGCCACTTTGCAAAGAATTTATTCAAGCAAGAAAACTATTTTGAAAAACATAATTTCGGGTTGAACATGGTACCCACCACTCTGGTTACCTTAGCAACCATCTCTCAGGAACCAATCAAAATTGAGGTCCCAAAGGACCTTATACACCCTCCATTGGGATCTCCCCATGAGAAAAAAATAATTCATCTGATTTTTCAAAATGAGTATTCTGCTTTAATTATTACATTTATATGCACACTAGTATCTTGTTGACCTATATTCAACACTGTATTGATGTATAGGCCACTTATTAGGGTCATAATTCAATCATGAAGTGTAGAGGCATATGATTCCAAACCAGGAAGTATTTTTGTGTCTGTCAAAATCCATTTGCATCCTACGCATCCCTACATCTTATCCAAATATGTTACTACATAATGAAATAAAATAGTATATTCTTTGGATTTACAAAGTTGTATGATTTTTGATAAGTGTAAAAGTTGTTTTTGGAGCATTTTTCTATAGCCATTTTGTAGGGAAAAAATGATGAAAAAATGTACAATCTTTTAATTTTAAGTATGACCTAAATCGATTGCAAACTTCATATTTGCACATTTAATGAGATAAACCATTAGTGCCATATTGTGAAATTATTAAGTTTGCAATCGATTCAGGTCATAGTGTATTTTTGGTATTTGTGTGATAATCAATAGAAACCAATGGCCTCTATTGGGATCTGCTGATATCGTCATGTTAAGTCAATGAAGCACAGCCCCATGTAAGGCAATACAACCTTACTAAGCTAAATGGCCCCTATCTCAGCCTATGTGTGCCCGAGCATTTTAATATTTTCCAAAGAGTTATATGACATTCTATTCTTCATGTTACACCTAACAATTATTCATTTTGACCATATGGGTATTTGCCAATAATCGCACCTCTTCCTTTTAATATATAATGTATAAATGTATAGCACATATGTGTACCAAGTTTCATTGTAAAAGTCCTATTTTCCTTTAAGTTATGGCATCAACTGCAAAACTTTTCGAACCACCTAAATATATACCTAAGTTATTAGATGCAGTGAAGGAGTTAAATCATTGGGATATGAATAAATCATGCAAAACATATTTTGTACATATTTCTCATCATTTAGGGTTACCCAGTAGTTTACATGCTGACCTTTGCAAAATATATTTCACTTACTATCCTCATTCGCTATCACGCTATCTAGTTTCTTTCCAAATTGGCCTGGATTGCCTGGTTTATTGGTTTTAGCGAACCGTCCATTTCGTCGAACCATCATTTTGCTAAGGTTGTTTGTGATGAATATACAATATTCAGTTACATATAACTGTACAGCAACTTTATGCAAGGGAAGGTAATTGTGTGAGAGCACTTAAAGTACATGAAGTATTGACCCACTTGTCTCAGTGAATCTTATAATCAGTGCATAAAGTTTTTTCTATGCAATGATTGGCTCACAGTTACTTATAGTGTAAGTTATTTCATTTCTATACAGTGTGGAATAGAGTGTATAAACTTTTACAGTTTCAAGCAAGTTTTAGTGTTTTCTGACCAATGATATATTCAGACTTATTCATTTCACGATTATGTAATACTGACCTACATATCTGTATAGCATATCTTTAAAGATATGCTATACAGATATGTAGGTCAGTATTACATAATCGTGAAATGAATAAGTCTGAATATATCATTGGTCAGAAAACACTAAAACCTGCTTGAAACTGTAAAAGTTTATACACTCTATTCCACACTGTATAGAAATAAAATAACTTACACTATAAGTAACTGTGAGCCAATCATTGCATAGAAAAAACTTTATGCACTGTTTATAAGACTCACTGAGACAAGTGGGTCAATACTTCGTGTACTTTATGTGCTCTCACACAATTACCTTCCCTTGCATAAAGTTGCTGTACAGTTGTTATATGTAACTGAATATTGTATATTCATCACAAACAACTGTAGCAAAATGATGATTCGACGAAATGGACGGTTCGCTAAAACCAATAAACCAGGCAATTCAGGCCAATTTGGAAAGAAACTAGATAGCGTGATAGCGAATGAGGATAGTAAGTGAAATATATTTTGCAAAGGTCAGCTTGTAAACTACTGGGTAACGCTAAATGATGAGAAATATGTACAAAATATGTTTTGCATGATTTATTCATATCCCAATGATTTAACTCCTTCACTGCATCTAATAAGGTATATAGATACTAATTACGGGACATTTAGGAATTAAGTGACTAGACCAAAGCAAGCATGTTTGAGATTTTAATGATTTTAAATAAATTACCACTTCATTATTTGCTTTTAGACATTCAATCAGTTTTATTTGTCCAACAAACCATATTCACAATTGTTCAATCCAACGAAGATTAGGGGATAAGCTATAGAGACCCCTCCATTTGTCCGTCCATCCATCCTTGATTTGATTTGATTTGAAAACTATATTTATTCTGGGTAGCTCTATCAGTACAAAAACTGGTCTTCCTAGAGGCCCAGTAATAATTTACAATTATTTACAATGTGTACAATAAATATAGAAACATACAAATAGATTAATAGGACATATAGAACAATTTGATATATATGCATCTTCAAAGTATGCATTTACATGAAACATAGAGAACAACTTATAAGAGAATTACATGAATATAAGGAACAATGTACGTCTTTAAATAATGCATTTACATGATTTTCATTTTCTGATCTGATACACTTGTTTATATGCTTTCTTAAAAGAGTTTACAGAATCAGACTCTTTGACAGTCTTATCAAGCTTGTTCCAAAGATGTGAACCACTGTATGATATGCTTTTCTTAAATATTTCAAGTTTTGGTTTTGGTACATAAAGTGAATTTTCCACAACTGCTCTAGTGGCATAATTATGAACAGACTTTGTCTCTTTGAAACAGTTTTGAATATATGGGGGAGATATGCATGAAATAGCCTGGTACATTAAAATTGATTTCCTATATCTAATCATTTCCTGAATTGGAGTCCAATTTAGGGACTGAAATAAAGTGACACTTGAAATATCAAAATTAGCTCTCAGTATATCTTCAACTAGACAACAGCAACACCAAAGTCTAGCAAATCCCATCGAACAGCCATGGCTGGCATTTTTTTTACAAACAAAGTATACAGCAAAAATGGCAGCCATTTTTCAAAATGGCCACCTTCTACCAAAAGTGTCATTAGACAGTGTGCCACGCTTATAGTATTCACGCATCAAATATGAACAAAATCGCTCTACTACTTTTCGAGTTATAGTAAAATACGTTAAAATGACGGCCATTTTTAGTGTGCCATGCTTATAGTATTCACATACCAAATATGAACAAAATCGCTCCACTACTTTCTGTGTCATAGTAAAATACGTTAAAATGGCCGCCTTCTAGCAGAAGAGTCATTAGACAGTGTGCCATGCTTATAGTATTCATATACCAAATATGAACAAAATCGCTCGACTACTTTTCGAGTTACAGCAAAAATCGTAAAATAACGAGTAAAGGCCGCCATAGTTCAATTCTTTGAAGCAAATGATTCTAAAAGTACAACATATCTTTGAAAAAATATCATTCTGTTAAGTGAAATTGTAAATAATATTTTGCAATGTGTGAAATTGAATTAAAGCACATGATTCAATGAATAGTGGATGCTTCAATTCACTTATGTCTTCCAGTCTAGGCTTTGAATTCGGACTACCACCCTCGTTCATAGTCTAGAATCAGGACATATGTTAAATTTAATCATCTACAATGCATTGAGTCATTGGCTTAAATCCTATAATATAATATGCCTATCAATATAATATGTAATTATTTAAGTATCATCTCAATGCTTTAATTTTAATAGAATTATTTTAATATTTTACTAACTGTATAATATGTAGTTTGCATTACTTTTGATAAATAAATAAATGATTGCACTGTTCAGTAAAGAAATATTGCAATTGTATTATTAAAACTGACTATACACTATAGAAATGATTTTCATTGAAAAATCAAATCAGTACCAAAATTATGGTTACCCTGTAGTAGTGAAAGGCACATTAGAAATGAATATCACCCCCTTCAATCTATTTTTACAGGTTTTTATGATTATTTCAGATTTTTCTATAGTTTGCGTAACCAGGACGGTGAATTTTCTTCATTTTTCATCAAACATTTCGTCTTACCAATATCTATTATATCTGTCAATTTTATCAAAATCGCGCCGCTACATTTGAAAATAATTCAAATTATGTAGTTTTTCCCATTGAGCTCCATTATAAAAATGGAATTTTCAAACTTAATATTTTAAAATTCTACGTGGTGAAAAGTTGCATATTGAGTAGTTAGTTAATGTTATGGTGTTAAAAATTCAAAACAAAAAGGAATAAAGAAAAAATGCCACAGAGAAGTCTCAATAGAGTCTCTTTAAATATATTTTGTAACTAGGCCCCTTAAAGTAATACAAGCAGACACAGCTGGAAGAGTTAATGATGGTATTCGAGATGAAGAAGATATAAATGTCCAGAAAGATCCGACAACAGTTACTGCACATTTCGAAGGATTTCGTAGTGGACATGGTGAGTTATAAAGTAGCGACTACTATTATATCGTTTTGACGTGTTTTGTAACGTAGTAGTACGTAACGTAAAAGAAATATTTACATCTGGGAATCGTACAACTCGAAATAAATGCGATTTGTAGAAGTTATTACTGTATCTATTTCTAAAAGGGTACACCCGCTTTGAATGGGCACTTGGTACGGATATAGGACTAGATGATGTACAGTCATTTACCAGTCACGGTATTGTACTTGATGATGACGATCCAAGTCACCCAGGTATAGGACTGCATACATCTGGTTCTTTACATGCACCCGTCCATCTACAACATGGCCAGTATTACCATGTTACAATACGAGGACAAACTGGGGTGAACGAGAACCTGATAGGTATATCCGATGGTTTCAGAGTAGACCTGACAGCACCAAAGGTATGGCTGTAATAAATAGATGTGTTTTATTGGGCTTATGCTCTTGTTTATATATATGGTATAGTCTGTGTTATAATGGAAGACATTTATCATATTATAGGATACAATTTTTTCACTTCGGAGTGTTTGTGGTTAGGCCAAGCATGGTCTTGTTTCATCTTCTCTGTCATGTAATTTTGCATCTTCGCTCTCGTTTGATATTATTTCATCAACTCTTTCCTATAATTATTTGTTAATCCTTCGATTTTTAGATACGGTTATTAGATTTCGGAAGAGAAGAAACTGTCACCGGAGATCCATTTTACCAAAGTGCTGTTGATGCACTTTCGGCTAGTTGGAATATAACAGACGATGAGAGTAAAATCATTGGTTCGATGTTTTGTTTTGGGACACTGCCAGGACGGTGCGATGTCTACAATATAACACCAACTGGCGGTAGAGAAAGTGTACAACCTGGATTATGTAAGCCTGCAAAAATAGGTCAACCAAACGTCCTAATGGTCAAGGCAGCAAATGAGGTAATAATTGTTTTAACCGTTTGGATTGCTTTTATGAATGTATAATTGGTTTTTTGTGTGGGACAATAATGACAACCTTGTGTAATGGTTACAATCAGATAAGCAAAGGCTTGCGAAACGGCGGACTTTCACTCCATCGCATTTGGCGTTGCTTCTGCACATGAGGCGTCGGGATTCATCATGCACCGGACGAACTTGCAAGATTTGATTATAAAATTTTAATCATCTTTTCAATATTCAGCTAATAGAATCTATAGACGATTCTATTTCATGGCTTTGTATAAAAAAAACCTCCTACCTCATGCCCTATCTTAGTTTAATAAATCTTAGTTTATGATGAATTGTAGATGCATTTGTAAGGACCCTTGATAGCAAGTTGCTACTAAATCCCAGCTGGGTTCGATTCCAACTCGGGGCATCGAATTTAGCACACTTTCTTTCATTTCTTTTTCTGGCTTGTTAGACCTATGCTCGCGGACGTTAGTCATTTATTCCCCTGAGGCGCCCTCGGGTCATTACACATTAAAATGCATCCATATGCCTTTATTTATGGATCTGTCTAGTCATAAAATAAAGCCGGAATTGTAGAAATGTTGATAATTTGAGCTATTTTGAGATTTAATAATCTTTAAAATTGAACCCTTCAATGACTGTATCATATTCCACGTATGTGGGTAGGTGGGTATGAGGTAGGAGGTTTTTTATACAAAGCCCTATTTCATTGCTATTCTTACTTGAATTGATCTTAATTCTATTCGAATGAGCATATCTACGTGTTTTCAATTTCTAATTTTCAATTTCTAAATCACAATTCAATAAATGATTTCAGGTTGGTTTTACCAGTACACAATATTCACCATCAATCACCACAGATAATACTGCACCGGTTGAGGGTACAATCAAATGTCCACATTTTATTAAAGAGCAAGAAGTTATTGTATGTAGCTGGAATGGATTCCTCGATGCTGAAAGTGATATATTAGAGCAAACTGTTGCTGTCGGTACGGAGGAAGGAGACGACTCAATTTTTGCGTTTCTTAAGTTAGCTCGGCAAGTCAACAACTTTGATTTCCATGGTAAGAATAGTTTTTACATAGATTTTGTATTTAACGTTAGATTGTTTAAACTCAATTTTATATTGAACGTTAATTACTGGAGTTTTGAATGCATAATAGACGTTTCGTCATTGAACACTGAAATCGACATAAAAAACAAAAGCATTTCTTTTTGGCTAGTCTATCCTTTTCCATTATGGTTGAACTGATATTACATCGTCATTACAGAGTATTTAAATGAAAGTTTACCAGCTGGGGTGTATTATATGACACTAAGAGTGAAGAATGGAGCTGGATTGACAACAGAGTCATATGCTTCACCAATAGTCGTGGATAATACGCCGCCTGTAGTTGGAAGGGTCGTAGAGCTGAATAACATCATCAACGTTAACGCAACAACTGGGCTAAATTATGAACAAAGGCATACTAGATGCTTATCTGATCAAGGTAAATAAATGCCATATATTTTCTCATATAAGTTAAATAACTTTCTCTTAATTAGTACATGTTAAGCTAGATTTTAATTTGCTGTCGCTAATGAGGTATTACTGATTTCAGAATGTGCATCGAGAGATGCCATATGCCAATCATCAATGAGTGATGTTATTGTTAGCTGGCTACCATTTACCGACGACGAATCACCTATTGTGAGGTATTTTAATAACATTCCATTGAATCACCTATTGCGAGATATTTTAATAACATTCCATCGAATCACCTTTTGCGAGATATTTTAATAACATTCCATTGAATCACCTTTTGCGAGGTATTTTAATAACATTCCATTGAATCACCTATTGCGAGATATTTTAATAACATTCCATTGAATCACCTTTTGCGAGATATTTTAATAACATTCCATCGAATCACCTTTTGCGAGATATTTTAATAACATTCCATTGAATCACCTTTTGCGAGGTATTTTAATAACATTCCATTGAATCACCTATTGCGAGATATTTTAATAACATTCCATTGAATCACCTTTTGCGAGATATTTTAATAACATTCCAGTGAATCACCTATTGTGAGATATTTTAATAACATTCCATTGAATCACCTATTGTGAGGTATTTTAATAACATCCCATTGAATCACCTATTGTGAGGTATTTTAATAACATCCCATTGAATCACCTATTGCGAGATATTTTAATAACATTCCATTGAATCACCTTTTGCGAGATATTTTAATAACATTCCATTGAATCACCTATTAGCGAGGTATTTTAATAACATTCCATTGAATCACACATCGCGATGTATTTTTATAACATCCCATTGAATGACCTTTTGCGAGATATTTTAATAACATTCCATATTGAATCACATATTGCGATGTATTTTTATAACATCCCATTGAATCACCTATTGCGATGTATTTTAAAAGCATTTCATTGAATCGCCTATTGCAAGGCATTTAAATAAGAATAAGAATTATAAGATTCCATTGAAAGGGTATGAAAATGCTACCTGACCACTCGACAATTGTACAATGCATCTCAACCATCTAAGCGTGATAGAATAATAATATTTAAAAATACAATTTTTTAAGAAAACAACAAGAAACAACAGAAGACGCCAAGATATTTTCCGTGATCGTCATATTGAAATCATTGGTACTGTTTTCATTTAATATAATGTGTCCATTCGTCTATTTGTATGTTTTCAGATATGAGTTAGCCGTGGGGACAAGTCCAGGTGGTTCCCAATTAAAGAAGTTTTATGTCGTTCCATTAAATAGTTACATCACGAAAATCAAGCATTTGGACCTGAGTTTTCAAAAACAGGTAAACAGTACAGAATGTTTTTTATAATCATCACGTAGAACAAAGTTCGTCCGTTGCTTCAAGCAATAGCGGAATAATCTAAGGTGTATTAATCTAGCCTAGAAATACACGTAACTACCTATTGGTATTTTTAACACACAAACGTCTATAAAAAAACTTAAAAGCAAAGGGGTAAATAGAAAAAAACAACCGGAAAATACATCATGCAAACATGGACAAAAAACATGTATTTCATTCTCGCGATCTGAATGTATACAGTATTGCTAATACGAAATTATTTTAACGCTTAACCAATACTGTATTGTAAAATTGTAAAATGTATGTTTACCATGTAACTGTATTGTAATTGTTTTTTGCAATTGCTTTAACATGCTTATTCTTTGAAATAAAAAAAATTAAAAAAAAAAAAAAATTATCTACAAACGGAAGACCTACATTTTTGTAGATGTTTGTAACTATACGGGCAACTAATGCTGCTGGACTAACATCGACATCTACCTCAAATGGGGTTTTCATAAGCCGTTTCTCAGCAGGATTACCCACATTAGGCGTTTCTACTGTTTCTGATGGTAGCAGACCTGGGATTGACATGTAAGCTTTTTATTTAGTCGCCATAACGTCTCTCGGCTATGTAATGAGAATCGGGCAAATCCTACATATGATAGAAATTAAGGATGTTCTAGATCTGTTTTAACATTTAAGTGTCTTCAGTTGGACGTGGACACATGTTACTAACACACCAATTGATTCCTGTGTAAAGTTTATTTTGTGTACATGTTCAAGCAAGAAAAAAATAACTCGCATATAAAACAGCATAGAATATAGTCCAGAGTAGGGATACTAGCGGTTACCGTTGGTTATTTGGTTTTCTGTATAAAAACGCCTTTTCTCCTTTTCTGTCTCGTCGCAGCGCCATCTTGTGTTTGATAAATGAACCAAGGTTTATTCTCGATAGGGTAAGTACTTATCTATCAGGAAACATTTACAAGTTTGGTTAGAAACAGAATTGTTAAAGATGGAGGAGTGATCTTTGAGAGCGGAATAATTTTCTAAAACAGGTAGCTTTACAGTGGTAGCTCTCTTCAGATTTAGTTATCTCAAAAACGGTGAGGTCACCGTTTCATTATTTTGTAACGGCAAGCTAGGCAAGACTCCAATGAACACTGGGCACTGTTTCGCTGAGCTAGATCTGTGCCCATGAATATATTATGAAATGAAACGTTATAGTGGTCCTCAATGGGATTTTTAACTGCAATCTTGACCCATTGCAAGTGCAAAAGTAACAGGATAGCAAGCTATTATTTTAACATTTAAGTTTAATATATATTTTGCTATTTTAGTGACTACCAAAAGGACCGCGAGCAGCTGACTGCTAATTGGGACTTCAGTGGCGATCCATGTCCTATTGAAAGTACATATTGGAGTATACATCAATTAGATGGCACTGAATTTATGAAAGCAATGCGGGTACCTTCTTCACAGACATATGGTGTTTATGATAGCCTCAACCTTCAAAATGGAGATGGCTTTTATGTAATAGTACAAGGTGTTAATTACTTAGGTTACACACAAACTCTTCGTTCAGATGGTGTAACTGTGCAGCAAGAACCATTGATGCCTGGAAATGTGAGGGATGGTCCAATAATCGGAGTTGATTTTAACGTTCAACCATCCACGACTGAACTGTGGGCTAACTGGGATGCATTTGGGAAGGATAGACAAAACAAAAAAGGTATTGTATATCAGATTAAATACTATGCATACGTGCCTAAAGATATAAAAGGGCGTGAATTTCAAATTACTGAATTGAACAGGTACTTTTTACTTTTGCACCGTCTAGAAAGCGAGAAACACGTCTATAGATAAAAACGTGGTCAAAAAATGCAGCGAACCGCATATTTGAGTTCAGTGTTAGTAACACATCGCCTACATACCAAATATATGTGCCCTAGCCTACTGAAAAATGTACTCACGTTCACCCCGAAATGTACAATGATTTTCCATATTTTTTACGAAAACCGACCATTTCCGATCTAATTCATTTAAACTTATTGAGGCTTATTCAGGACTGAACAGGTACATTCTAGTTGAATATGGTCGGAGAAACGATCTATAAAAATATTGCTTAACCCAACTCCGGCGAAATGTACCCACACTCTCCTTTTTCCAAATTGTTCACAAAATATTATCATTGTTCAAGTTTATTATCCCATTGGTCGAAGTTTTGAGGGATAAAGGGACGCCTCCGTCCGTTCATCGGTACGGTGATAACTCAAATACTGTTGGATCGACTTTTAAAATGGCCACAGGTTTCGAAATGGCCGCCATTTAGTGTCAACTTTACAGTATCACACCGGTATAGCCTGACAACGGTAAAGTCAGGTACCGTTGTCACAAATGGCTCACATAACTGTCGCTTCAATTAGATTTTCATGAACTGTATGTTTAACAGAGCACCTAGACTAAATTCCTTGGAACAACAATCAATCAAAGTGTCTTAATACTCATTGTACAATTAATAATGTTCTACCATCGAAATAAAGTATTTAATTTAACCGACCCAAATGAGATACGGAACAACAGACACTGTAATTATTATAATATGCCGTTGTCTTTGTCGTTGGATATCACAAAAATATACAAACAGTATTACTATACTATATAATAATTATAATATAAACCTGTTTTTGCAAAAGCTAGAACAATGAAATTGTGAAGATCGTACATAAGACACTATGACCCTCAGAGCTAACTCATGCGTGCAAAGGGTGCATAACGTGCCGATCATAACATCGTCCTGCTAAGCTTCTGGATGCCTTGCAACTAGAATCCAGGATAGCAGCGCTGAATTCAGTTTCGTTGCAATTTTGGAACAAACATTCAAACTATTATGTGAATCTATATTGAGTTTATACAGAAAATATTACGTGGATTAGGTTCAGCTGGAAAGTAACATTTTGGTAAAAAAATGCAATACCTGCACATGTTATTTTCTGGTACAAAATTAAGTATGAAGGCATATTTCCTTGCTTTTTTCAGGAAAGTATCACTACATTGTCTACTTTTACTAAACCTGAAAACAGGTCAATGGTAGCTCCTGTGCTGTCTTTGAAACTTTGAAAGAAAGTTTTGAAAAATAGAAAGTGTGAAATATCAGAAATTCCTTGAGTTCCCATTGAACTCTTACCAGATATACTAATAGAAGACAATGTAGTGATACTTTCCAGAAAAAGCATGAAAATTAACACATTCCTTCATACTTTATTGTGTACCAGAAAATATGTGAAGGTATAGCAATTTTTTACCAAAATGTTATTTTCCACCTGTTCCTTTATATATGTAAATTACATTCAGGTTATTCTACCTCATTGGATTCTGACATTGGAGAACATCAAGGAATTGAGTTCTATGAGGTTGCTGTCGGTACTGATCGCCGCTACCCCCAAACACGGAACAACGTTCACCCATTTATACGAGTAGGTTTAAACAGGACATGGCATTTTACAAATTTGCAACTCATTCCCAAAGTTGCCTACTACTATATAACGGTAAAAGCTGTTGGTGTCTCTACTGCTGTCAGATTGCAAACATCAAATGGTATTCGAGTGGGATTTGGTGGAATCGTGAAGAAACATGGAGAAGTACAACTAGCAGAGTGAGTCATTCATGTTCCTCATCGAACTAAGGAACTATTTTAATATTCAATAACTTATTCAAACGATACCTTACATCATATTTTATCAATCTAAAGTTAATGCCGGTGTGAAAGAAATTATGGTTCCCTGGGGATTATGGTCCCCTTTCCTTACGGTCCTTACTGGCCCAGACTGTGTATAAATAATAAGAAAAAAATTGTAATTAGGTCACCATATAAATCAATAGAGTAGGACCAAAATTTGATAGGACCACCTACCCTTTTACACCGGTGTAACCCTAATTTCTTTCACACCTGGTATTTAGTTCTATGACGTGTCGCAAAAAGGTGGCGCATTTGTTTTTTAAGGGTATCGCGTGAATTTAACTTTGATTCCCCGGATTATAAGATAATATTCTAATTAAAGTTATATATCATTTTAAAGCTGTTTCGATGAAGATTTTAGATCAACTACACTCCGTTCACATTTTTTGCGCGTTCGTTTTTAAAAAAGAGTTTTTTACCAAAACATCTGGCAAATATCCCATGTTGACACGTTACATTTTGAATTATTTTTCGTCTTTAAACGCTCATAACTCGAACAATATATGACTATTATACTTATTTTTCGTCTTGATAAAGGTAGATGGAAGTTTTATTTCAAAGGATGAATTTTAGTAAGCGTCCCATATTGTGACGTCATAGAGTCTGAAAAATAGAATCTGTTGACAGCGACCTTTTTTGCTCATTTTTTGGTACCTTCAACTTTTCAGGTGTACATAAAACAAAAAATACGAGATCAATTTTTAATAAATCATACATGATTATTTTGCTCCTAAACTCTAGTTTATTAATAAATAGTTGATTTTGTTCACAAAAGTATGTGTTTTCTGTTGTATGTGGAAAAGTGGAGGACGAAAGGTTTTCAAAATTTATTAAAATAGGGCTATTTTACGCCATTCGCCTATTTTCAAGCACAGCAACACGTATATTTATTTCACCTAAAATATCAATTGATTCGTGTTTTATGATGCTCCTAACCCATTGTTAATACATATACAATATCAGATTTATTCGCCTTAAATATTTTGAGCTATAGAGGCAAATGTGGAGGACGAAAGGATTTCCATAAGTGTTCATTTTTCTCAAAAACGTCACATTCTATCATGTTAAAAGCGAGGATCCTCTGGATTACTCCACAAAATGTGTAACAATGCGTGCGCGAGCTTTTTGCGACACGTCTATATAATTTGGATTTATGTTATGTATTTCACCAAATTGATTTTATTAAATATAATACATGTATATGTCATTGTTGTATTCCAGGTGTGTCCAATCTGGGACAAATCTTGAATTTACGTGGGGAGACTTTGAGTTTGGTCTCCCTGTCATGTTTTACCAATGGGGAATTTCTTCAAACCTTTCGTCTGTTGATGCAATCAACTGTGATCAACTGGTTAGTATATTTTGAAGGCACTAAATATGAATTTCATGTTTTGAAGTGGTACTTTACATACCCTTTCCTTTCCAAATTAGGACTGACACTATGATTCCTTTTCCCTTAAAACATGTGTCATGGTCACTAAAATAATCTGAATGTGCACCAAGCTTTTCATTTCATTTCAGTCCAACACTATTAAGCTAAAGATTATATATCGTATGTTCTATTTACAGCAGGTAGTTGATACTACTATTGATACACCGATGTTAAATAATTTTGACATTCAACCAATGACAAATGTGAAAATGGATACTATGGTTCAGAGGCAAGGATTGGCAATGCATCACGGTAGCTCATACTTAGTAGTTGTTATAGCAACAGATGAATCCACAACATGTGCTATGGCAACAAAAACGATACGTGTCGACACTACTCCACCGAATACTGGATCTATTCAAGTTGGACCTCCGAATAACTTGGTAAAAAATTATATTTAATCATGGATATAATAAAGAGTTTTACAGACAGACACCTGATCATCATCTTTCCGACCATTATTTTTCAAATTAACAATCTACAGGGTGTCCCCCGAAAGTATGCCCCCCCCCCCCCCCCTAGGCAGACATATTCCAGTGTCCTCATAGTATGTGTCATATATCATTTTAAAGCGTATTCAAAGTTACATTGATTTGCCAAGTATCATGGTTTAACTCTCAAATGGGAAAAAGTTATAGTCATTTTAAAAGTTCGTGTTTTGTCAAAATAAAGTTCAATTTTACGCCACATTACCAGTCAATGTGTCCCCCCTTGGCCATGTAAACAGCAGCAATTATTTTCAGATATGACCTTAAAAGCCCTTGAAATAGGGGTGTGGAATTTTATAACCCTATTAAAACCTGTTAAGGGACTTTAGAAGAGTTTCCTTAGAGTTTCTACCCTCACCGTTCTCTTTTTCCAACTCAATATCCATCCGACCCGAAAAGAATTGCTGCTGTTAAGATGGCCCGGGAGGACACATTGACGAGTGATTTGGTGTAAAATTGAACTTAATTTTGACCAAACACTAAATCGTGAAATGCCTGTAACTTTTTCCCATTTGGGAGTTAAACCATGATACTTGGCAAATTAATGTAACTTTGGATAAGCTTTAAAATGATATGTGACACATACTATGAGGACACTGGAATATGTCTGCCTAGGGGGGGGGGGCATGCTTCCGGGACACCCTGTATAGCTCAATTCGAGGCCTAGATAATGTACGTTTCCATTATAATCTTAAAGCAATTTATTACGTAATTGCACGTTTTAGAACTTCAGACAAGATTTTATGTTAAATTACTTGGTAGTTACTGTTTTGCACTTTTACTACAATGAACTGCCCTTTACCAACAGGATGTCATGTTTTGGGAAGCAGTTGATCGACTCACTGTTAGTTGGACAAACTTTACAGATCCCGATTCGTCGATAGAAAGTTTCAGCATAGCCGTGTATGCAGGGGCACCATGTGATGGTACACCAGCTAATAGCCCGAGTATCAAAATCACTGAAACCATTGAACTGACTGGTAATCTTACCACTCACACGTTTTTCCATCTCAATTTACAGGTACATAAAAGTAATCTGTTGATACTTTCTAATAAAACTGTTTTTGTTCTATATGATTTATTTACAGGCTTAAGTGTTTAATGAAGGAAACAGAGGTTATTGACAGTTGCCCTGTTAGATAATGTCGATTTTCTTAGATATATCTGTCCCAGCTGTATGTAGTCTTGTCATTTTTCAATAGCGAAAATGACAGCATAAACATATACATGTATCGGTTTACTGATCTTGTGATATTCTGTAATGACACAAAATATAATCGTTGAGGATTGAAAAAACAAGAACAAATACATGCACATTTACACATTTTGTAATTTTGGATGATGGTGACTGTGATTGCTCCATTTTCAAATTGGAAAGAAATGTGTATGGAAGTGCATTGTATTTGAATCGAAAAATTGTTGTTTCATTTTACAGGAAGACCAGCCGTACTATATACAGTTGGGAGTAACTAACTGTGCAGGATTGAGGGCGTCTGTCTTTAGTAAGCCTATCCTTATCGAACCAAATGCACCTGAAGCAGGCAGTGTAAAAGATGGCATCATTTTCAGACGAGATTTGGAGTATCAACAATCTGTGCATGATGTAGAAGGTAAATTTGTTTGTTTCAGTAGATTAAGTTTGTGAACGATGTTGTGGATGTGATGTATTATTTTATTTATTACATGACATAAAAAAGGCAGTTGGTCTACTACGCTGCCCAATTACATTTTTTTTCTTTTGTCTGCGATTTTCAGATCAGTACGATAAAAGAATGCAAATATATTGTCTCCCTGTTCTTTAATATGGCTTTGGACATTTTACATTTTAGCAACTTTTCTGTACGATATGGATCCTGCAACTGACTCTTGTCCAAATGTTAAGCTAGATTTGACCCCGACTTCGTGGAATTACGTCCATCATGAAGGAGCGTGGGGAATACGTACAAATGACTTTTATCATAAGCATCGGGTAAATTTTATTGAAAAAAATATAATTCATATATAAGAAGATTTTGGTTCCTTTACAATAGTGGACTGTTTTCTGCAATTGTATTTGTTGAAATTCAAAATGTATTTGCACCTTATTGAATTTTTCACTTTTGCTCGACTGCAAAGCTGATTGTGTTAAATTTATCTTTCCAGGTTCATTTTACCGGCAATAAATTACAGCTTGAATTAACGCCTGGTGTAAATTCAGAGAAAATGTTAGCTTCTGCAGTTGACAGCAACTTACATGTAACGTCGGGGCATTATGAGGTAACTACATAATTAAAACATATGTATGTGTGTGTGTTTTAATCCATAGTTTACCTCTAACCAGTTTGTTATCAGGTATTTAGTCTTAAACTTAAACGTCTGTACCAAATTTTGTGTTTTTATGATTGTAGTTTGAGATGAAGGCCGGAGGCTCGCAGCTGCAGAGTGTAACAAGTGTTGTTCTAAGAGATGGCCCACGTGGTGTGTTTGTGGACTTACATGTATATGTTAATAATCACAGTGGTAAGTATGCCAATTTATTGTAGCACCATCAGAAGTGGTGACATTTTGTTATAGTCTTCAATTTTTGAGGACGACGTTCTGCGGTTGGCGGATGGCGTCTGAAAGGCAACCTTTATGATGAAACATAAATAAGTCAAATATCATATCTTGTTCTGTCTAACAGATATCGCTAGCATACAACAGAGTACTACTAAAAGCCCCATGGACAACAGTTTAACGTTTGAAAAACTACCACTAGAGGGAGACACTTACGATGATAATGGGGAAATTCCAGGAAAACAGAATGCATGTGGAATACAACTGCATCCAGGTTTGTACAAAGGCCCATAGGTTTTCTTAAAATAAATGTTTTGCAATTCAAAATCAAAAAAGATAAAGCTTGCTCCTTTAAATATTTTTTGCCTATTTAAAAAACAAAACAAAAGCTTATTTAATTAATTGTAAAGACATTTACATTTTTGTTGGAGTTTTGGATGCTTTTAAAGGTTTTCAATGAAATTGAGTATATTTATCATTACTAATGATGTATGACTTTTATATTTTAACAGGACAAGTTGGAGAGTCTAGTTATGCTGTCCTATGGTGTACATGGCTAAAGGATACCATGGACCATAACTACGAAGTCATACATCTTGACTTTGACCCATCAGAGTCTTGGCACACATATGGCATTAATCTACAAATGGTATGCGACAGCATTGTCCACTTTCAAATAGATCTAGATACAACCGAATCATCTATACCTTAGTTGGATGTCATTTGTGTCCTGCAGAATCAATGTCCCTTTGTTTTGGCATATGCAACAAGGATTTGAGCACAAGACGCCTGCCTTTCTAAGGCATTTCAAAATTGGCTTAACATGCAAATATATTTCGTGCATTATTCCACAATGTCATATATGCATGGATAGGTTAATCTTCATGGTTATATCATTTAGCTGTCGTCTAAATTATTATATTTTGCATATTAATGCTTTTAGGAGGACAACAACATAGAGTTATTTATAGATGGCGCAATCAAAGCTATACTCTATGGAGTTCCTGACATCAGTGAACATGGTATTTTGAGTTTGGGTATCAGGAGCAATGACGTTTACTACCCAGACAACATCGATCCGTTTAATAGAGTATCGTCAAAAGCTTACTTCGATCTAATCAGGTACTTCTCTCAAATAAATACTGCGTATTGGTGTTGTACATATATATCAGAGAATGTGCTATTCATATTTTAGCGAAATAAACAAATCGATGTTCTCAATTTAATGTAGTACTCCAGAATAGTTTTTGTAAGAGCATTGGAAAGGAAATCATACCTTTAAAGAATTGGTTTTGTGAAGCATTCTCCTGTTATTTGTAGTGTACCACCAGACGCAGAGACCTCAGATTGCAATTATGGAATTCCTTTCCAAACAAAGCACACGGCAGTTATTGAGTTCCTTGCTGGGCTAGGCACAACCAAGGAGAGTGTGGATGTTATGCCATTCAAACAGGTAGAACATTAAAACAATAATATTTTATAGGAAAGCAATCAACGTATAATCACAGGGGTTTATTTATCAATGTACCATTGCGCAATGATAGTAGTCGGCAAAAGTATTCCAATGAAAAACAATTGTATCTGAGTAACTTAAGCATTGCCACTATTTCTGATTTGAGTTTTAACGATGTTGTGCTAGTATGTGGCTAATCTTAATTTGTCGTTGCTTTTAGGTCATCTCAAGATGTATGCCATGTATAACCTCATGTGCTGCCTTGTATTGTGATCCACATTGTGCTAGCTCAACACAAAGCTACACAGTGAAATTAACAAACCTTCACTTGGCAACCATGCAGAATGTGACTTCAATTCTAAACAGCACAACATTAGAGCCTGCAACGTACTTCGTTCATATTAGAGTAATAACAGGTATGTGTGGTTTATTTCATGCCAAAAACTGGCATATTTATAGGATATCCTATGATTTTGAGGAATATCATTTTTATCTACGAGGTGATACTGATATCTGCACGAGAGAGCAAAGCGAACGAGTGCATATATCAATATCACCGAGTAGATTAAAATGATATTCTGAAAAAATCATAGGATGTTCTTATTATCCTACACTTACAAGGAGTGAACTAAATGTATGATATCATTGCAAAATGAATTTCATGCCAAATAGAGTCAATTTGGCGGGAAATCAGCAAGCGGAGTATATCGTCACAATATCCTCCGCATATTGGGTTATCCGGAGTATATCGTCACGATATCCTCCGCCCGGAGTATATCATCACGATATCCTCCGATTATTCATTTTGCCAATAAATATCAAATTTATTTTTTGATGTTATTATACATTTAGTACACTAAGTATAGGATAATTTGTATTATTATAATGATGTTTTTGGCTCGCCTGTTATGACACTATAATGCAATTAATGCATATTGTAGGTTCAGGTCTTTATGCCACGTCAACATCGAATGGCATCACTCTAGACACAAGTGGACCAGTGATAGATGTCTTATACCACATTGATGTATCAGTGTCTGACTTAAATGAAGCTCATGTGCAAGGTCAGACTCACACTATAGCAGCCAGATGGGATGCATATGACCTAGAGAGTCAGGTTTGTACAAATACATATTGGTTATGACATCTGTTTTTGTCACTGCTGTATTGCGTTGTGTAAATAGTAACCACAACGACTTGTTGTTCAGTATATATTATGATATAGTATGATATTATGATAACCAAATGGTTAGTCACAGGGCAAAACGACTCATAGGCTATGACTTTTCAGAGTATGTTGTTGACATGTTAGGTATACTTTGGACAAGTAAAGTACGCTAGCTATTTAATTGTTATCCTGGTAAGATTTTGCTAATTGTGTCTACAAGACTTGCCAAATGCCTGGTAAGGTACGTCATAAGAATGAGCCAAAATAGTTTTTTTAGAATTGAAAGAACTTTTTATTTCAACATCCGTTTCGGTTTGTCTCAAATTTGTTAAAAATAATTGAGTACGCCATTTTGCAAACTGGATGAGTAAGTGATGAATGGTTCGTACAGAGATTCCATCTAAATGTGAAGTACATCGGTTACTACAGGTGGTTTTGTTCGAATGGGCAATTGGAAGTGCTAAAGACAGAACAGATATTCAACCATTCATCGCAGTTGACAAAGAGAAACTGGTTAAAAGTGACAACCTGACTGGTCTGCTCTCAGATAACCATACATATTACATAACACTCCGTGTCACGAATGGAGCTGGTGGACAAACAGTCAATGTTTCAAAGGGTGTGTGAAACTACCTTAGATTTAACTGTTAATTTAATGAAATAAGATGCCTTATTTTTAATGAATTATGCAGTACTTTATGATAAATACCAAAAAGCTAAATCAGATATCAACTCAAACGTGAACTATTTAAAGGTATATTGATAATGCTACCGAAGGAGATACATGGTTATGCGTCTGTCAACATAACCTGCAAGGACGAGTTTTTTGACACTAATCTACCAGTTGATGTGCGTGGATGTTTCGACCAAGACAGTACTGGTATCGAATGGGTACAGACAAGGCAACGTGAAGGTGATCTAGACTGTAAGTGATTTTACACTTAAGTTTTAAATGTCAATATGTTATAAAAAAGACAAAATTGCATTGATACATTATGATAATTAATTTAGTTGCATTTTTATGTTTTAATTGTTTCTATTTATAGATTTCACCGTTGGATCGTCTCAACATACACCTGGTGACATTATCGCGAAGTTACAAATAGGCCCAACTGAAATCAACAATTCTGTTGAATATGGCTCGGTCAAAGTTGATAATGGAACTATAATGTCTAACCCGTATGGAAAGATAAATATATCAGACGTTAATATAGCTGGTTTTCAGGAATACATTCTTGAAGATCACCCAAGGAAGAACAGATTTCATATGGAACCAGGGAGGTTAGTTAGTAATACTACATAAATGGTTCATCTATATGTTGACATAACATACGCTCTGCGTCCTGTGTTATTTAACTGTATATTTGCTTATGCTTAAGACAAAATGAATTGAAATCGAATTAAATTGAGTCAGGATGCCATTTCTATGCATCGCCTAAGTGTTTATGGTATGATCTAAGTCGATATGCAGCCTCACTTCCTGGATGATTCTTAATTAACATTCCTTTTAGGTATTTTCTTTGAATAGTAAATATTATATTGACAAATATATTGTTTTATGTTTTTAGAACCATCTATGCCAGTTTAGAAGTTTGCCAGCCTGGTAATGTGTGTTCTACAAGGGGTATGGCGAAAGCAGTAATACTGCGACCCTCGGACCAAATACGCTCTTCAAAGGAATGTTGTCGATTATCCAAATTCAGTGCACTTGATAACAGTTTAACTGTTCGAGCTAGTGGTATTGAGGCAGAAAAAGCACTTGTCTGTGGCGTTCTCTCGGAGACAGATGTTGTTGAAGAGTATATGTCAGACGCAAGTGAAGAGTTCAACCCATATATCGTCAACCCAGCATCGTCAATGGAGAGTACCGATAGAGAGCTACGAAAAAGGTATACATCATATGCTCAGCGCCATAAGGATGTATGTGAATACAAAATTCCACTAAGATACATCCCTTTGGCGCTGAGCATGCGACATGTGAATATAATCATTCAATTGCGCTTCTTGACGTACAATCACAATGATTTGAATAGGCGATATCCTTCTTATATTTTATTTAATTATCTTGTCTTAGGTTGGGAAGATGGAGTGGAATAAGCTTCTTTGTTAACACAATTGGAGAAGAGCATCTCACCTCGCCATTAATTGTAGAAATTTCATTGCCAGTTGAGTCTGAATTCATCAACAGTAACTTAACATTGATAACATGGAACAAAGGTAACAGTTCTCTCATAATTTGAAAAATAAAGTGGTCTAGAGAACTTTACTACACGTTTTACTTCAGATCTGGTTCTTGGAACTGACATGTGCCTCCACTCAGCCCTTAACTCAGTGAATGTCCGTATAATATCACAAGAAAATCCGGCAACTTATGCTTTAAAATGTCAATAATTATTTCTTAAACAAAGTCGCCCGGGCACCTACCTTCTCCGTTTTAACCCCCCTCTCCCGAGAAGAGAAGATTAAATAAGGATAAGCTCTATATTTCGTCAATACATTGGTCTAGCCTATTGTAAAATATCACCTCTTTTGTAGCTGAGCAACAGTGGCAATTGGCAGAAACCAACTGTGGTGCCCCAGTCCGTAAGGAGCCTGGTTTAATAATTATCAGTGTATGTTCCTCTCCATCACCTGTCCGACATAAACGCCAAGCAGATGGTGAAATATCAGAATACAGCGGTCAGAGTCAGTTCGCTCTGAGTGAAGTGTCTGATCAGTTTGTGAACACACCGCCAAGGATCACATCGGCTGATTTTATATGGGTATTTGAGGACTATGGGTTGTCTTTGAATTTCTGGATTGAAGCTTCTGATGAGGAAAATGATGACATCGCCTTCCTTGAAGATAACTCCAAACCAGTTACTATTCTCGGGGAATCGAGTTTAGAACGAAATGGAAAATTAACATACAGGCCATGTCCGCACTGCAATGGGATAGACAAGTTTTATTTCCTTGCAGTCGAGCAAAGGACTGATGGTCACCCCCCGTTAACTACCCAAGGTGAACTCACTATTGAAATAAGACAGGCCAACGATGCACCGATGCTGTTTACTGCTGTTGAAGGTGTTTACCAAGAAGTCACACCAAATTATGGGATCGATGTAACAGTTGAACAATATGCCGACCACACTGCATTATTCCACAAGTCTTTGCATCTTCTTATAGGAGCCATGGATTATGACAGAGATGATGACCTCACTCTAAAAACCGTAGGTCCTCATCAGGGTGTTGCAAATATTTCAACAATTGAGACCTTCCAAATCGTGCAGCAAAATTGTGAATCACAAATTGAAAGAAAGCAAAACACCAAATGGGCGAATATGTTCATGAACTACACTGGAAACGTTTATACTCCCTGTGGATTGCCCCAACAACCCATTCCTGATGACCAGATGAAGTGGATGTTCCAAACTTTAGTATACACCCCGAAACAAAACTTTTATGGTGAAGATGTAATGCAGCTTATGGTTGAAGATCGTTTAGCAACTAGGTCTGATGTTCTTACCATCCATATCCACGTTCTGGAGAACAAATGCAAGCACAATAGTACGTGTAATGGCACCTTTGTCGGCGATACACTTTGCGAGTACACTAACAGAAGTAATGGTTTTGATGGTTATTTTTGTAACTGCAATCCAGGTAAGTTGTCTGCGTTTGTTTTTTTTAATAAAGACACAAACCGTAAATATTAATGATAGCATAATAATAGTTTATTTCTGTGTCACGGGTTTTACTAAAATATTACGGGTAAAATATTTGTGTTAAAACCATCAAAAAGTATCACGTCCATGTGGACAAAACATCATATTTGAGTTGTTAAGTTGCAGCATAGGAAACACTCATTTGATGGTTTTAGTAATTATACACGCGACCCACAATTTATTTTGTTAGTACCTCAGTGTAAATACTCGCATCTGATTGGTCAATTAGCGGTCAACATTTTTGCCTGTACCTCACCTGTGCATCATGGGATATCATATTATTGACCGCTTATGTTACTGTACTACACTTGTGAATCATGGGAAATATGACATCATAATGTTTACAGAAAAAACATGGTAGACAGACATTTCGTAAACGTTGATGAAAGTGATATTTTGACTTTGCTAGACGACAAGTATAGCAAAGTATAACGAAAAATTAACATTAATTTACAAGTGAGTATGCAGTTATGTGCCAAAACAAAGAGTTTAGCTACCACTGTCTTAAGATTTTCTTAAAAAAATCATTGCTGGCGTGGTTCGGAGAAAAGATTGTGAAATGAAGCCATGATTGATGACTGTCGTCTATATGTGTATTATTAGTTTCTTCTGACTAACAAAACAATTGTAGACCTCTCCATTCGGTCAACCGTCAAAACCATATACCTCGACTGTAAACCTTGAAACTACTGTTGACCTCGACCTTCGGTCTCTGTCAACAGTAGTTTCTCGGTTTACAGTCTCGGTATACAATTTTGCCGGTTGACCTCTGGAGAGGTCAACAATTGTATAATGTTTACCCTTTTCCCCATTAAGTTCATTTTGTTACAAGTATTTAATTATAGTTAAATTACATGTCCTGTGTCAATTTATGTTTCACAACTCATGCGGGTTTCTCCAAACGAAAATGTTTATCATTTAATCATATATCTGTTAATACAACCAAGTCGATAAACCTCATATGTTTCTGTGTAGGTTTTGATGGGGTCTATTGCGAGAACAACATCAACGAATGTCTGCCCAATCCATGTAGCGCTAATTACAGCTGTATCGATGGTATCGACTCATACACATGTTTCTGCGATCCCTCCTGGCCATGCGCTGGATACCCTTGGTGGATTTGGCTTATTATAGGGATTGCTTTTCCCGTATTAGCAATCATTGTCATCTTGATCGTGTTGAGATTGAAAAAACGATATAAAAAGAGGTATGCTACTTATTATAATATTAAATAATTGGTGATAATTTTTTCAAGTGTTTTTATCACTTGCTCTTTTAAGAAGTGAAAATATTTGATCATAAAGTGATCAATGCAGATTCAGACACGTTACTAGTCAGTTTAATTCTGCCTTTGATACGCACAACATGTGAAACGTGATAGGATTATCTTATACCATTAATTCCCGATGCTTAATAAAGCAGCTCAGTCGTTGTCGGATCTTCTTTCAAAACTACAGTCATTTAGCTCCGCGGGGTAAGTGTGTACCATATTGGTTACCCGATTCGTTCCCCCGGTTCGGGCACTTTGCTTATTGCGTAAAGTACTTCAGGGTGTTCGACTTAGCGGCCCACGACTCGTAAAACGTCAGTGGGTTGTACGTGCATGCCTATTTTGCGTGTTGAAGAACACAGGACTCCTTCAATCAAGGAGGGGTTTCTGGGTCTGTCCTTCAGGATCATTGGAGTAAAAAATTATGACCATACGTGTACGGAATATACCGAAGAGGTATAGCTCACCTTCATTGGTGGTAAACAAAAATATACAATACAGTATCCCCAATATTAAAGATATAGTCTTTTCTCGAGGGGACAGCTAGATTCCAAGTCGTTTGTATAGTAAGAGCTTTTAATTTGATGACCACTGCTCTGAGTCAATAATTTTTTAAACATTCTTCATAATCGTATAACATATTTTGTCTGCAGTGATCACAAAGTCCATCCAGAAGGGGAAACATGTAAGAGTCAGGGTACTTCTGTTGAAACGTCTACTGACGACCTGAATACGAGCACAACTGAGAACTCATGGGAGAAATATTTTACGGATCTAGCATCGATACCTTTTGCAAGAATGGCTTCTACTCTGGTAGGTTTTACTGTGATATGTTATAGATACGCATAAAATATTATAAATCTGTTTTAGGATATTTATTTTTCTTTGGGTATCGTTGTAGATAACAACAACCAGATAACAGTTAATGTTGACATTGTTTTAGGCTGCAATATCACATGAATATAATAGTTTAACGTTCTTGTATAAACAGGAAATAAAATAGTAAGAAAACAAAAAGGTTGATTGTGGATTGTGCTCATTTTGGATAGAGTGTTGAAGCGCAATATTGTACAATGATACATAATATTGTTTTGTGTTGACTCTGAACATGTATGTTGCAAGGGTCCAGAGCAAAAGATTTTGCATTGGTCCCTAATTTATGTGACTGTGTTTTGAAAGATTATTTTTTGTGAATTTTTTTTATCAAACTGAGCCACCAGCCATAGTATTACACGTTGTTACGCATATTGCGTTATAGAATTGCATAATATAGCGACGTGATATGAATTATTTTTAGAACAATCAACAGTTACACAATGAAAAAGGCCCTAGTGATCGGAGTGGTGACTATTCAGAGAACAATGAGTTAACTAAGACTATGGATGATGAAACTTCCTCACCAGCATGTCCTGATGTGACCGAGATAGGAGATGAATCAAAAGACTTCGATTCTGGAATTTTGTCTGACAATTCACCAACACCCGATAGACTAACGGAAGAAACCGATTCTAAAGACGAATTGGAAAAAGAGGTTCCCCAAAAGGCAAGTTCCAAATGAATTCAAATAAAATAGATGCAAATGTATTTGTTTTACGTGTTATTCCATCATCCAATAATAACTAGAATAATAGATAAAGCATCCCATTGATATTTACATGCAAAGTGTTTATCATGGTTTTATTATCTAGGAAATGCAAATAAATGTTTGTACGCTAAAACTGGCGTTCTATAAAGATGGACCAATTGAAAAAAAATTTTAAAAATACAAATTAGAAAGTATATTACTTCGTGATTTAGAAAAATCATATTCTGTACAAGATATGTTTGCTCTGTAAAATTATTCTTGACATGATCTAATGTGTCTCTTTTACAGGATGCTGAGTTCATTACTGTAAAGCCTGGGGATTTGTCGCCTCCACATCGGGAAAACACAATTTACAAATTAAAGGAGGACAAAACAAAACTATTCTTGATAAAAAATAATGGAAAGAAATAAACAATTTTCTTGCGCTTGTATCCAATTTCAGCCAATCAGAACGTGGTTAATTGCTTGCACTGTATGAATTTAATGCTGTCTGCTATTTTAGATTCTAGTACTAATGTAATACTAATTTTAGTGATATAGATTCCATTTTGATGGCATCGGTTTTATAATTCCAAGTCGCTGTCAAATTGACTGCATTATTAACTTCCCTTCTCAGACGGGGACACATCAAAATTGGGAATTTGTTTTTCAAAATGTAGAATATAATCTTTTGAAGAATACGTGGCTCATGGGGCAAGAGACTGGATATATGAACTGTGAGGACATGAAATTTATATTAGATAGATAAAGATGGAGATGTACACAAAAGAAACAGTCATCTAGGACTTGGATAAATTTGAAATTGATGTTTGTGATGACCTAGTTAAACACTTGCAACACGCATCCTTAAAAATTCATGTACAGGGTGTAAAATACGAGGGGTGATCCAAAAGTCTTTGACGCCCTGCTCTAATTTTGTTGGTTTTTGATCAAATTACTTAAAACTTTCCAATAATAAAGACCAACAACCTAACTACTTTGTGTGTTAATTTCATGGAGAAATTATATATTTGATGTAGTTTTCTATATAGTTTTTATATAGGGACCCTGCCACCCGGAACGGTATTCGCACATGACAACTTTCAGCCTTAAATGTTCCCGCCATTCCACTTGTTTCGCAAGTCTTGACCACTATCTTTCTTTGAATTTTGAATGTTAAACCATGTTAGTTTACTTCTTTTGTTATTAGGTAATCAATTAATTGTGTTTTCATTATCATGTCATATATGACAATGGACATGTACGTCAAATTCCAAGGAAATGACATCAGACAAGCAACCCTCATTCTGGTATCATTTTTGCTCCAAGATGGCTGCTGAAATGGAGAACATGAAAAAAATCAAAGTGGAACAAAGTATTCTACAAGATATTCTCACTATTATTGACCTTGAGCAGATACCATATGCACGATACAGTCTTATGGCTCTGCGTGATTTTCTTCCGTTTCTCCAAGTTGAAAGGAGGGTTGAAAGAATATGTTTTTTACTCATTGGATGAGGTTTAGGCACTCCAGCGCAGCAGCATTTGTATCACATAAGCAATGGCGATTTCATAAATGTCTTCCATTCATTGGTAAAGCGGTACGAAAAATGTGTTCAAATTCGTGGAAAATATGTTGAAAAGTAGGTCTTAATAGTTAATATGTGAAGATGATGATGGCAGATGACATTCAGATTGAAAATCAGAAATTCTCTCATATCATGACTGGTCTTAGGTTGTGCACCTGCACCTAAAGTATTTGCCATATTATAACAGTTGTGACATGATTTGCTATATTGAAATACCGTTCCGGGTGGCCGCGACCCGGTATTAAAAACTATTTAGAAAAGTAGCTAAATTATATTATTTTCTGTTGAAACGTATACACAAAGTTGTTAAGATGTTGATCTTTATTATCTGAAAGTTTCATGTAATTATATTAGAAAATAGCAAAGTTAGAGCAGGGCGTCCAAGACTTTTGGATCACTCCTCGTAAGTCTGTTCTCCCACCTTAACTTTTATATCTTTAAATTTAATATCATTCTTTCCCATATATTATTTTGAAGCTCATGGAAAATGCTGATCACCCTCAAAAAATCAATCATAAACTCCTCCTAATAAAATTGCTACAATGTTTCTTGTAAGGTTGTAGTTGGCCTTTGATTACGTCAAAACAAGTAAAATTACCAGGTATAGTGAATGAAAAGTGAAAAGTTGATCTGCAGTGGCTAAATGCCAACATTGGGTGATTTCGATGTTTCTCAATATCATTACAGAGTACAATGTGTGACATTCAGGGGAGCCTTTGAATCAGGGGCATCATTCATCACAAAATAGTTGATAACACCTTAAATTAAACGTTCTGAATGATTTATACAGGATCACATCCTCGTAGAATTGAGGCCTTCCGGGGGAGACATACAGACTATAAAAAAAGTGAAATATGGACATCACTAAAAATACTCTAAGAAATTTGGAATTTCACCAATCACTCTGAAATTTGGTGTGTGATCGGCAAATTAAATTTGCTTTAAGATGATACCAACCCTATGTTATCTCTGAATTAAAAAATTAAGGGGGGAGAACAGACTTATTTGACGTTATCAAAAACTTGCTCCTTATACAAAATGACAAAAATAGTGTATTGAACTTTTAATTTGCTGCACTTAGCGAATATTTCAGGTTATTTTTTGCTTTGCATACTGTGAATCTAGAGAAAACGTAGAATAAATGTTTTTGCTTTTCAACGATTCTTTTATGTTCTCGTAAATTAATCGTATGATAAGGTGGAATGAAAGAGTGCTTCTATGAAATGCATTTCAGGTGTCGTTTTCTTAAATTAACACTTGATGTTCGCATCTTGTGCAAATTTCGGAAATCAACGCTTTCAAGGAAAGGTCATTCCACATTGCACTGAGTCAAAGGCTAAAACCGGTATTTCTTCTCGTGTGCCGGCCAATGGATCGGAGCAAATGTGACCCAGGCATTAGTGACCATGTGATTTTCATGATAAAATCCATCACGCGATATTGATATCCATGCACGAGATGTGAATGTATGTCATTTACATCCTACATTATATTGATGTCGGAAAATAAAATGTACCTGACTACGCTCACGTTAAATCCACTAATTACATTCGGAATTAGTTGTCAACTAATCCATTAACTGTACAATCATTATTCTGATATTAAATTCTACAGATACCATTAATCTGATGGATTAATCTGTATCAATTATACTTTTAATTGTATTGGCCTTAATAATTAAGTCAAGGCAATAGTTCATTAATTGGTCCGTAATTTTATTTTTTTTAAATAAAGAACATTAATGTGTTGCTTAAATGCTATACTTATTTCACACAGGGTTACGTTTTCTAATAAACCATTTTTGTACATTTTAACAACATTGACTGACAGTTCAAAACGCCCAAGATTAGTAATTGCATAACCACTCTTCACTTTTCAATTTCAAACATGTTCATTAATTTAAAAAAATTACACGCTGCGTTTCTTTTATCATTTCTTAATTACAAGACAGTGTAGTATAAATTCTATTATTTTATATTCTCAATACTAGTAGGTACAAAAAATACTATATACAACAAATGATGATAAAACTAATATTATATCAAAAAAAGCAATATACTAAATGATGATGAATGTTCTCTTCATCGATATCCTTCCATTCATTCATTTTACATCCTTCTTTGAACTTCAACTTAACTTCTTTTCCGAAGAGGTTTGCAAATGACTTAATAGCATTATCCAAGAGTGCTTTTGGATTAGGGGTAGTCTTTCTTTTCACAAACGTAAATCCATGGTTTCATTCATCGACCTTCAAGGTCTTTGTATTTCCTCATTCGACATAGAAGATTAACTCATAATAAGATGGATGACGACGATTTAAAGGAAATAATCATAATTAAATAGATAGACACGATCTATGTTTTATAATATGTACATACTCGATGGCTTTATAAGATGATTATACCTATTTATCTCAATAAAGATATGTTGGCATGTACATACAGGCATCTGTTATTGATTAAGAAGAACATCATTCCAAGATAGTTCAGCTCGTTATCACCTAAGAGAATGGTAAAGAGACATTATGTTAATTCGAATAGTCATATGGATGATTGACATTCAAGAATCAATCAGCATAGTTATTGATACGAAATGAAAGAATTGCCCGCGTCTGCCAATGTTTGATAAGCGTTTCCAATATTCTTATCTTTGATTTAAATTAAAAGGGCTTTGTCTTCGTTTTACAATAATAAAATAGTATAATGTGATTTGTTAAAATCACCAATGTCTAGTTTTTATTCACATCATTAAATATACCGTTGACAGTCAAGGAATTTGTTATACATGTATATGGCGTTTTATTCTCAATTCAAACAAAACAAACAAACAAGACAAACAAACAGCAATCCTCTAGCTAAAGTTAACTTCCATTGTGCCGGTAATATCTTTGACAATATTGTTAAATTGATTTAAAGGAGCACGTGGGTTATCGCACACAATTTCAGAAGGTTATATCTTGGATTATGACTATTTTCTTACAATGAAGACAAGTTTATCTTTTAGATCAATTCATTATCTCCAAACACGGAGATATTTAACCAGCAATTAACCCATCAACACATTTTTTCAAAGATGTTGACCCCATTTTCACCAAAAATGCAATCGTTTTTTACAATGTTTAATGCATTACTATTCTTTATTTTGATGTATCAAATAGTTATTGCATTAAGATAAGTGTTTCCCATGTTATTTCTCCATTGAAAAATATCATGTTATCCATTGGTTTCAGTTCATTTTGGTCATCCAAATTGAATACCTTTAAAGTCCCTGGAGCAATCAAATTTTCTTTTTAAGAAATCGAACATGTCTCAAAGTACATTCTAATTATGCTTTCAACAACATAATAATAGGTTGCATTTTTAGTGAAAACTAGGTCAACATTTTTGAAAAAGTATGTTGATTGGTCCATTGCCCCTTCAGTATCACTTAGGTCTGATTAATAAATTATCATTATATATACTTTTCTTGAAGATAATGAATGAATCTAAAAGATACACCCATGTTCATGATCAGAAAATATTCATAATTTAAGTTAGAATCGTTTGAAATTGTTGCGATAACCTACGTACGTGCTCCTTTGTTTGAGCCCAAAACTTAGAAATAGAAAGATAATACTTCATGAACGAAAAAAAGTAGGCCGACCTACTGTAGACAGACAGGCGGGCGGGCGGGCGGACAGACAGATAGACGGACAGTCTGATCATGACAGAGCGGCAGGTTGGCAGACCGACAGGCTGGCAAACGGAACGACAGGCTGGGAGTCTGACAGACCGGCGTGTCAGCAGGCTGGCAGACCGGCAATCTTACAGGCCGACATGTTGGTAGACCGACAGGCTGACATACTGGTAGACAGAACGACATGCTGACAGACAGAACCACAGGATGGCAGACAGAACAATAGGCTGGCAGGCTGACAGACCGGCATGTTGGCAGGCTGGCAGACCGACATGCTGGCAGACAGAACGACAGCCTGGCAGACAGAACGACAGACCGATATGACAGCAGGCTGGCAGACCGACAGGGTGACAGACGGACAGGCTGGCAGACCGATAGGCTGGCAGACCGATAGACTGGCAGACAGAACGACATGCTAACAGGCTGAACGACATGTTGGCAGACAGACAGACCACCGTGCTTTATAGTAAGAACCACTACATAAAACAAACAAGCAATCAAGCAGATTAACACACAAACAAATCTCCTCAAATTATCAAGAGACAAATTATCAAGAGATAAATATCTACATAGCAACAATTGAAAATAAAAAATCTTTACCTC